GTCAAAATACTGGGAGAGAGAAGAGCCGTGTTAGAACAAGGGAATGCAATGTATTTTGGCTTTATTCAGTTGATTACTCACATAATCTCTGTGCGTGGACAGAAGTTACTGGGCTCATGTATGACTGGCTCTCCCTTTATTTGCTGTTTGTTGATCTTGCCGGCAAACTTAAAACACTTGCACGTATTGGATCTGCTTGCTGGATGCCCTGTGGGAAGAAAAGATCATTTATTATCATGGTGCAGGGGATACTGAACAAAAAATGGCCCCTGTAGGCATGTGTATTACAGAATGAAAGGGTATGTTAACTGCACTGGTCAGACAAAGTACTAATAATGTCATCTCTTCAGTCAGTCAGCAGACTCAGCCAGGAACATCTAATGATTATTTTAAATAATACTATATTGTGCCATTTGGTTACCATAATGTTCAAAGATCGAAAGACAAACATTTGTTTCCTATAAATAAAATGAAATAATGCGTTAAATATCATATACATAAATGCAATAAAATAATTCTGACTTTGAGAAAACTATTGAATCTCCTGCGCACCATAAAAACATATTTTATCTGTAATAATTATAATATAACTTCATTAGTTTGAATCATCCGTTCCCTGTTAATGGTTCTACATTAATAAACATTGACATTTTTGAAATAACACAGACATTCCCAAAGTTTCCTTTATTTGTGTTGCAACTATGTAACCCCAAACCCAACTTTAAACAAACTGGTACATTTATGTTTAGCTAACATTTTGAGAAATAAAAGATGCCACACTTAAACATAAATAAATATAGTTACAAGCTGGATGAGCGGTGTTAAAACAGTTCAGCTCCTGTACTAAAGTGGGCTGTAAGCTGCATAACATGACACGATATTTACAGAACATGGATCTTCTTACAGTACCTTGTGCATAGAGGACCAGCAGGCAGGAGAGCAAGGCAGGGAGTGCTGAATGCATGGTGGATGGCTGTACAGAGGTTAAGCTCTTCCTTCAGTGGAGACTCCTGATGCAGTACAGCGCAAGAACAACTGCCTTTTATACACTGACCACACATGACACAATAGTTTGACATCCGAGATTACTTTCACTTTCTTTGTCCCTTCCTTTTTCCTCCAAGAAGCCTATTTCCCAGAATCAGAAAGAGAGAACATGTTTGGCTTATGACTCTCCACACACTCGCCCTTAATAGGGAGCGAGGCCGGAGCTGTTCCTCCTGAAGACCACAATGATTTATTTGGTTTTCGTGGTAAACCAAAATAAATCATTTTGGGTCAGGTTGGTCCCTGAACACCACGCTGAGCCTCAGGACCTCACTCCTGTAGGCCGACTCATCTCCTCCTGAGATGAGACCCACCACAGTGGTGTCGTCGGAAAACTTGACAATTATGTTTTCTGGTGGGCTGGACTGCTGTCGTGCGTGTATGGGTGTATGGCGTCTTCAGTGGATCAGTTTGCTCTGTTAGCAAACTGGTGTGGGTTGAAGGTGGGAAGGAGGCAGGCCTTAATGTGATGTAGCACCAGCCTCTCAAAGCACTTCATAATCACTGGTGCAACAGGACGGCAGTCATTAAGGTCGTCTGCTTTCTTTGGAACAGGAATGATAGTGGCTGTTTCAGGCGAGGTGGGATGAAAGCGTGTTTCAGGGAGAGATTAAAAATGCTGGTGAAGACCTGTGAGAGCTGGTTGGCACACGCTCTGAGCACCTTCCCGTACTCCATCAGGACCAGCAGCCTTCCTTGGGTTCACTGCTCTGAGCACCCGTCTCACATCATGCTCTTCTACGGTGAGCGAGGGGGTGCTAGAGGCTGGTGGGGGCTGGGATGGTGTGGCTGATTGCTGCTGTGGTGTCTCGAAGCGAGCAAAAAATCAGTTCAGCCCCACTGCCAGTGACAGACTTGAGTCCCCATGTTGACATGTCACAGCCTCTGTAGTTGGTAATGTTCTGAATGCCCTGCCAAGCCTACTTGGGTTGTTGCTTGTGAGGTAACAACCTCACAGGCTCTATCCTCCTTTTGTAGTCTGTCTTGGCTTGTTTAATTCCTCTCTTCAGGTGGGCTCGAGCAGCACTGTAGAGCTCCGCCCCCTGACCTGAAGGGTCACAGGTCTTGAAGAGCAAGAGGACCCGACCAGTCATCCAGGGTTTCTGGTTCGGGAAAACCTTGAAGCTGTTTTCCACAGTGACATTGTTAATACAGTATTTGATGTAAGACAGTACCATGTGCATGTTGCCAGGTCCTGGTGTTAAAATACATCCCAGTCTCACGGAATTTCATGTTATAGTCACAACATTTAATCTATTGATTCGTGTTCACCAACACCATTTCCCCCTTTTTTTCGTGTCACACAGAACGATTTTAAAAGCAATGTATTTCTATTGGTAGTATGTTTCGTGCCTGCAGCACGTCTTTTTGTCCGGTCGGGTCGTGGAAGACCGGAAGCTGTGTGGTTCATAAAAACATGTTCTTACTCAATATCAAGCCACGATTATTGTTTTTATTTTAAATCGTATAATGTCAGACTTTTTTGCCGTCTGTGAGGAAAATAAATGGGGCTCAGAGCCTCAGAATACTGAAATCTGTATTTTTAAATATTTTTTTCCTTCTAATTTGTTATTCTTTTCTAAATAACACACTGTTATTTACTCAACAATAACACACAATTATCCTTGTTTTTATTTATTTGTTTAATTCTATAATATCGGGCTTTTTTGCCGTCCGTCAGGAACTGAATTTCAAAATAAAGTCACCGGAAACAGACGTGCGATACACACCCACTGAACTGATTACCCAAGATCCTCAGCTATGGTTAAAGCTCGGTGATAGGATGTTTTAGCCGCAATGCACGTTGGGATATGGTGTTAATGCGATATGAAACAACAGAATTGCGTTGCCAGGCAACAGCTTGAGGTGAAAACAGTATTTCCGGTCTCGAAGTTTGCATCAGAGGTTGTGTTAACCGAATATTTTCCGTCTATGACGATTTTTTTTTAACAATGACGGAAAAATCTGAAAGCAGTCTGTCATTTTGACAGATTAGAACAAACTCGGAACAGCGCCAAAGTTTCCCCGCAGCGAGGCTCCGGTGTTATGCCGTGTTATGCAGGGCTGGCCCTAGACTTTTGGGGGCCCTAAGCAAGCTTTGGTTTGCGGGCCCCCCTCACTCGGAGTGAAGCTAGTCAGTCTTAGAAAGGTTTTCTGATAAGTACGTTACTAAAATGATGCAGTAATGTAATGTGTGTTTGATTGCTTATAAACGAATTCATGTTTACATATGTGCAAATTTCTTCTCACTTTTTCTAGAAAACGAGTCCAATCTTACTGGTTCTTTCTTTTGCGAGGACAGCATTAATATTTATTTTCATTTTGGAAATATAAGAGTACTTTCAAAGGAAACTGGAAACATTGGCCTTTTTAAGGAAGTGTGCATCTGATTTAACAGCACATTTGGAAAAAGAAAAGTCCTCAGTAAAGACATATTGCATCATACATTTGATTAAAGTCTAGTTCTATATTTATGGAGTCATATTCTGATGTCATGCAGTTTCAACATGTGTTCCCTTTTCTATTATATCAGCCTTTCCAAAGAAATGGGATGTGAAAGTGAAACAAACAAAGTCAAGGGAAAGCTCCAGCCGAATGTTGGTGACTCTTAAAGACAAAGAGTCACGACCGTATAAGTCCTATAAGTCCAACTTGGGAATGGTAGTGTACGTCTTAGACACTTGAATGGACCCATTCTCAATGTCCTCACTCACTGACACAGCCTTTTGACTGAGGGAGGTACCCACTATTCATAGTATTCTGACGTTAAAACACATTACTGATGGAATTTGAGCAAATAAGAGGAGTTCATATAGGTGTTCAGCCTCTCATATATGTTATGGAGTTGAAATTGAACATGAAAAAACTCTGAGGAATGCATTAACAAATACATATTACAAAGCTAATTTATTCATCAACAATTTATTAAGTTGCTGTTTTGATGAACTAAATGGATTATTTGACATTGACCTCTCGCTTCTCTGTAAGGCAAGAGCTTGGTAGATGTCAGTATGTGATGTCAGTCGGGACCGAGAGCCTGAGGACACAAACAGACAAACATATGCTGCATGAAATAATACAATATGAACGATTGATCCTGGAACACTTCTAGACCAGGACAGCTTAGAATATAAACATTATCTGAAAAGAAATTAATTTAAAATGAGCTGGTGTTCTGTCAACACGAGCCACCAATCCCCTCACTGGGCATCTGCTGAACATGACGGTGCTGTAACACCAAACCATGACCTCAAGGCTGGTATACAGCAGGTTTACTGGAAAGGAGCTGCAGAGTCAGGTGGTCATTCTTCTTTCACGTTATATAATCATTTGATCCCTTGTTAACATAAACATGTTGATTAAGTGTCACCTGTTGCCGACTTTCATAGAACAAAAAGATCAGTCAATTTGGGCTACATTGCTGCTTGCACCTGATATATTAAATATGATAACAAGTATTGGCTAATTGTTCCCTTTAATTTTGATTATGACTCAGGGAATACCCACCCTGTTTCTGAGGTCCAGTCGTCTCTCAGGGGGAGCAGCGATGGTCCAGAGGAGCTACAGTAACACATGGAAACAACACACAGAAATACAGCAGCAACAGGAAGTAGCACAGTGACTGGTGCTATGAGTCATTGTGCATTTTATGAAGTGTTGTCTTTGTTTTCTGTTGGACTAACCGTTATTAATTTGTCACTTTTTTTTTGTTTTTATACAAATGTGCGATTGAGGTGGTTGCTCCTCAGGTTTCAGTGCAGAAACGCCTACGTAACACACCTTCCCTCATGTGGCACACCCTGTGAGCTTGCCTAACCTGGCTGGAATGTGTTGGCCGTATTCATGAATGGGAGGGAACATCATAAAAACAAAGACAAGGCTCACTTCAGAAACGTTTCAACCATTTGCTGTGTTTTTTTTTTACCGCAAGCAAGAACCCAGGTAAGAGCTATTTGAGCTTATTGTAGCGTGATTTAGCTTTTCAGAATCATGTAGAAACTAGACTCATCACCAGAACTAAAGACTTTTCGTTTTTTGAGCTTGTGATTATGCTTTTTTAGCTAGTATGGTGTTGTAGGTCTGTCACCTTAACCAACTCTAAGTGCGACTGTTTTAAAACCTAAATGATGTCTTTTTAATTCTCTTTTTATAAGCCAGAATTCCACATGTACTGGTGCACACTTATTTGCACCAGCACATTGGAAAGTCGGATTTGTAGTCTCAATGCTAAAAATGCTACAATGCTCTATGATAATCAGCTATTTTGTATTCAAATTAAACTTGTCTTCGTATATTCATGAACTACAAACCTAAACAACACATACATGTGACCACGGCAGACTGATGTCCAAAACAGATACACATCGTAGGGGAGTCTTCAAACAAGAGGGTTGTTGGTTGGTCTTTGTTTTTGTCATGTGAAACTGGTTTTACATGCTTTTATTGTCAACTATTTAAAACCTGTTGGACAACTCTTGTGGAGGGATACAAATGAATCTGTCTTATTTTATGGTGGATCCCAGAACATTGGTTGTGACACATACATTGACATCACTGCAGCCCATGCTTTTTAAAACATTTAAACACATTGCTCTTGGCACATGATCATATACTTTAGAAATGTTTATGTGAGCATTTAACTGTATTGGAATACCCCAGTGTCACAGATGGAAGACAGAAAAGCTGCTGGCCCCTCCAGAGCTGCCAGGCGGGGACGCTGGTGGCGTCTGAGACAGCGCTGGAGGATGGTGGGGGTGTTTGAGATCAACCCAGAGCATGAGTTTTACCAACTGACGTCCATGATAAAAGAAGGCATGCATTCTTCAATACAGACCACAATGGACACATCAGGCCAGGTGAAGAGCCGTTTGACTTAAGGCCCCAAACATGACACTTTGTAGATGTAAATTCACTCAGGAAAACCTTTTGCACAGGATACACTTGCAGCTGAACAATTCGCAGCAGAGGAAACTCAAACTCATGAGGTGAGTGGGCATTTTTTTAATAACAGCATTTTTTTAAAGCTTTATCGAGTTTTCATAATGTTCTCGTTTATTTGGAGTTTCAGTTGCTCCTTCTAAGAATATCTCTCAACCATCTCTAACACTATGACATTACCCAGACTCCTCTCCTTGCCTTGCAGGGTTTTCAGATGCAGACATTTGCAGCATCAGTGTTTGCTCAACAGAGGCGTTCTCTGGACATCACAGAGGAGGAGTACATGAACTCCCTCTGCTCAGACCAATGCTACCTCCAGTTTGTCAGTAACTCCAAGAGCAAGGCAGATTTCTTTGTCACGTAAGTGTAATCTTCTATTACACAGTCTAGTCTATCTTTATCTCATTCTAACACCCTTGTCTTCAAGTATAAGAGCATGCACATAAATAAACTCACATATGTCTCAATTATAGCCCAGTATGCCTTTACATTGATTCAGGTCCAAGTCAAACTTTCACTGCCAATCAGAGGGGAGTGGGGGGGGGGGAGAAGTACTCAGATCTTGTACTTGAGTGAAAGTAGAAGTACCAGAGTGTAGGAATACTCTTTAACAATTAAAAGTCCTGCAATCAAAATGTTACTCAAGTAAAATAAAAGTATTCTCATCCAAATATAGTGAAAGTAGTGAAAGAAAGTAGTCATTGTGCAGATTGGTCCATTTCAGAATAATATATATGATGTGTTTTATAAATAATGATGCATTTAAGTGTTATCAAAGCTCGTGAAGGTGCAGCTAGTTTGAATGACTTAGTTTAAATTGTACTACAGTACTTTGGTAAATGTACTTAGTTACTTCCGACCTCTGCTGCCAAAGTCTAGCCTTTAGCCAGGTGGAGAGGGTGGGTTGTTAGAGGGCTGTTTGTGAATGTTGTCAATCTGGGTTGTTCTGTGCGTGATTCCTCAAAAACATGGAAGGCCTGCGCCAGAACATTTCAATAGAAAATAAATATAGATGGATAAATAGATAAATACAATTGTGGAGGCAAGAAGCACCTTCCTTTTTTAAATGTTCCTACATGGCACCACCACTGAGCAACTGATCTAGTCAGCACTAAAGAGCTGATCCAAAGGATTCCAAGTATATTCTTTAAGATTTGTAAAGTAGGAGCCAACTAGACTGATTTTCAATTTGTATTAGTTAGAAGTGTCATTGTTTCGGCCATGTTTCCTGTTGACTGTTTGCTGGGAGTTTTACTTAAGATAAAACAAGATGGACGTTTATTGATCCCCCTAATTCAGGTGTCATAGCAGCAACAGAACAAGAGAGAAACACAGATAATACACAATATACATTACACGGGCATAATAAGAGGCCAAATAAGTATGTAAAAATGTACCAGTATGAATAGAAATAACAAACATAACGAGTTACACTCTGATCCGGTGAATGTACATATATGCAGATATGTGAGCACGGTTAAATCTACACAATCTCTTTCACATATATAGCCATGTAACAAAATAATCTGCTGGTCTTGCCGAAAATAACAAATGCCTTGGTGAAATATGTTGGCGAGAACATGGATTTATGTCAGTGTGACTAAAATGTAGGGGTGCACCGAATGGGAAATTCTTGGCCGAAACCGATACCGAAAATAGGAAACAGTTGGCCGAAAACCGAATGCCGAAAGGCCGAAAATGATTAATAGAAATATATATATATATATATACATTGGTAAAAAATGTATACATTATATATATATATATATATATATAATGTATACATTTTTTACCAATGTTGTTCAGCTACCTGATTATGGAAATAGACATGATTATGGCAAAACTTAACTTAAATAATAATCACTATTATGGGTCCATAAAACATTTATTCAGCACTTTTGAATGCATACAGTACATTTATATATGTCATGTATTATTTCTAAAAAACATTATATCGCAGTCTTAGTGTCGCCAACTCGTTTCTAATATGCAAAGACAACAAATGCGTCTATGATGTATTTTCGATCAGACGAGATCTCTCTCCCGTCTGTGTGCGAGGGGGCGGGGCAGTTTACACACACGCAGCTGCTACATGCAGCGGAGCACACTGCGGAGATGGCGGAGAGAACGCGCTCCGAGGTGTGGTTAAACTTTACCCGTCTCGATGTGGAGAATACTTGTTACCATAAGTGCAATAAGAGTTTAGCATGTAAGCACGAGCAATTTGTCTAAACATTTAGCAAAAGTGCACCGCATGCAGACGGAGGAATGTACCGGGTTCGACCGTCTTTCTAGCAGCTCTGTAGCCCCATCCACGAGTAACGTTTCCACGTCAGGTGTTCTGTGTGCTAGCAGCAACACACGGAGTTAACTACATTATACAAACGTGGGTTAATGATTAGAGGTAACTGTGAGCCAGCCGCGAGCATGGTCGCCGCGTCTTTATTACGTCATCACGACAACACGTTAGGTTACCAGTAAGCCTGTTCTGACATTCGGTGATATTTTTTCGGTGCTAAAGCCCTTTCGGCCGAAAGCCGAAAGGCCTTTTTAACCATTTTCGGCCGATAATTTTCGGTGGCCGAATATTCGGTGCATCCCTACTAAAATGTGAAGGTTGACTGATCGCTCCCCAGCTAGGTCAAGGTGATCACAAGAATTTAAAAGTGTAGTCACTGGAGTAGAAGAAAAACCCTTTCGACGTAGTCTGGGGTTTTTGCACAATCATCCAATATTAACGTTGGGTTCTTGTTCTTGCCTGGTGATAAGGTTGTTCTTGGTTTCAGGAATGATAAGAGATTCTTCTTGAAGACCCAGAGCAAGCGCGAGGTCAGCTTCCTGCTGTCCAACCTGCAGGCATACATGGCCCATCTGGAGAAATACCCTCACTCACTGATGGTGAAGTTTCTGGGTAAGAGTAGCGCAGGTCAATGCTGCAGTGGGATGTTTTCATTTAGAAATATCACATATGTTCACACATGTCTGCAGAGCCCTCCACTTTTGAATGTAATTCACTGTATATTGCCATATTTTCATTGTCCCAAGTGTCTTTGTATCCTTTTTTAAATGCTAAATCATTTATTAAAAATACTATTTTTTATTATCCTTATATATTTCTTTTTTTTTACCTATTATAGCAACTTATTTTCTTAGATTGTTTATGTTCGCACCACCAAGGCAAATTCCCAGTATGGGTAAACGTACCTGGCATAAGCTTGATTCTGATTCATATGATTTAATAATATCATATTGTCCTTTACATGTTCCAGGTGTCCACAGGATTGTTATCCCTAATCAAATAAAGGTATTTCATCAACATAATAACCAGTGGGTCATTATTTAAACTACTTCCTTACAGTAGAAGACAGTGTTTACAACACAGTGTTCTCTGTCTGCTCTCCAGAAATACTTTATTGTGATGCAGAGTGTGTTTTACCCTGATGACAGGATCAATATCAGGTACAGCTTCCCGGTTTTACCAAGTTTTCTACATGGATTTCTGATATATTTTATGAGTGTATGAACGCTGTGATTTTTCGGTTTCATAGATATGATATAAAAGGCTGTGAAGTGGGTAGATGGTCTAACCCTGACACAGGCGGGAAACAAATAATAAAAGTGTTGAAGGACAATAACTTTGAAGGGCAAACCATTGCATTTGGTAAGTGCACTTAATTACTCTTCTAATTGATGATGTTGAATGATGATGATGATGATGAGCTATTTCAGTATCTTTTAGCAGCAAAACTAAAATGAAACACATTGTGTAAGGGCACCCTAAATTAATGCTGCTGTAGGTCAAGAGAAATCCTGGTTTGCCCATCAAGTGAAAGTGGACGCTGCCTTCCTTCAAGAGCTCAATGTGATGGACTACAGTCTGCTGCTGGCCCAGCAGCCTCTGCACAGAGACGAGCTGGACGGGAAGCACTCATTGGCTAACCTCGTTATTCGCACCACAAAGTATGTCTCCTGAGCAAGTCCAAACCAAATGCTGTGCATTACAATAGGCGCATTCACACCGCAGTACTTTTCCCACAAAGGTTCATGAGAACTTAGTTCATGAGAACTCTTTAGTTCTCATGAACTAAGTACAGATCGCGTTCACACCGGTGTCAGTACCAGATATGTTCGGGCTACCAGATATGTTCGGGTGTATTTCCGTCATATCCGTCTACTCACCTCCCTCTGCTCCCAGCGCTCTGCTGCCACACACCGGCCGTCTGCGGAACTGCAGCCAGAGGAACTCGGTACAGCTTGTTATGTGTGTGTACTTGTGCACATAAATAATGTTTCTAATTATTTACAATTAAAAAAAATATATATATTCTGCGTTACTTTAGCCAACACTTTTATAATATATAAGCCTGATCATGTCGTTGAAAGCAAGTACAGATGTTCTCCCTTTTCCACAGTTCTGTGTGAACTTCATCTAAGGCAGATGCTTTGCTTCTGCACCAGTTTAGCAGAAGTCTGTTTTGTAAGACTGGTTTTGTTGCAGTCTGTTCATGCTATGTGTTTCTTGCGTAAGACTATATACACACGGAACACATGTATTACAGGGCTGTACCCAGTGTGCTTCATAGAACATTTTTGAAGCTTATTTTTTTAAATTAAGCCGTTTCCATGTTATAACAGCATCTCGTTAAATCAATATTGGAAACAATAATTGTTTTTTTGTGGTTGTTTAAATGTAATTTATGGTGCTGTTAGAGTGCTTATAGAAAGTTAAGAACAAAAGAAAATATTACATACTACCTATGGCACGAACATTTCGCGGTCATTATGGGGAAGCGGAGGGATCTAGATCGTTCACACATAACAAGCTGTACCGAGTTCCTCCGGCTGCAGTTCCGCAGATGGCCGGTGTGTGGCAGCAGAGCGCTGGGAGCAGAGGGAGGTGAGTAGACGGATATGACGGATGACGGATGCGACGGAAATACACCCGAACATATCTGGTAGCCCGAACATATCTGGTACTGACACCGGAATAAGTCCCTGAGGGAGGATTAGGCAAATGAAGCCGCTGACGTCACTTATTCTTCTTCTGCTTTGGGTTTACTGGCAGGCCGCAACCAACTTCACGGTGTATACTGCCACCCGGAGTCCCCGGCCGGAAGTCCCCGGAGTTGGGGACTGGCTTCAGTAGAAGCTGCTGGGAGTCCCAGCAGCTTCTACTGAAGCCTTCCGAGTAAATCGCCAGAACGCCGACACCTCCTCATCTCCACCGCTCCCATGTTTTCTTTTGTGTTGCCATAAGTTAGTCTCTCTGCATTTGTGCGCTGGGCTAATGCTAATAATGCTAATGCGAGGATAATAAAATGGCGGCTTCACAAAACATTTTCAGAGTTTTACGGGGCGTGGTTTTCAATCCGCCACAGCCAATCAGACATAGGAACCTTTTTCTCCCACGAAAGTCCCTGCTCTCTAGCAGGGACGGAAAAGGGGGTAAAAAGGTTCTCATGAACTAATTTTAGTTCCGGATTTTTTGGGGTGAACGCGACATTTCGGAACAAAAGAGGGGAGAAGTACTGCGGTGTGAACGCGCCTATTGTGTCTTATTTTTTAGAGATGCAACCTTTTTTAACCTCTATTGTTTTCTGTCCTTCCTAAAGGTCTTTGGACTTAGAGGATAGTCCCACAGGTTCAGACCCGCCCACCGTACCTTTACTGAAGGAGACCCTGGGTGAGGAGGGGTCAGTCCAGCCCCAGGCAGCAGCTGGGGAAGGGATCCCCCTCCAGGAGATAGGCTGCCCTGAGAAAGAAACCAAGTCTGACTCTGAACTGCAGGAGTTCCATGAACATCATCGTAGGCTTCTGCCCAACTGCAAAAATAGCAATCATGTGATTGACGGGCCAGAACAACGCTACTTTGTGGGCATTATAGACATTTTCACTGTCTATGGCTGGAAGAAAAGACTGGAGAACATGTGGAAAAGCCTCCGATACCCAGGCAGGGCCTTTTCCACAGTCAGCCCTGCCAAATACTCACGCAGATTCTGCCAGTGGATTCAGGACCACTCTCAGTGACACAATGCCATGGCAGCTCTGCAGAGTTTCTCTCAATAAGAACCGACTTGTCTCCTCAAATGCTACTTCAATTGTAGCCCTGACCACCTTTTGTTTTTTGCATAAACAAATAATTGTGTTCCCTAAACTTTCAAAAGCAAGAACTTTTGTTGCATTTTGTTTTGTTTCAATTTTTAACAATAACTGAGTGTCTAAACTGCGACCACAACCCAGAACAAATGGTTGTCCCTGGAAACGTAATTGGGTATGCAGTTTAGTTGTAGCAGTTTGTTGTTAATATCATTTTGTAGGAGGAATAGTTGATCAGAGCACAGAGATCGGGGGTACGGCAGTGAAAAGGGAATGTTTTTGTATTGGCTGCATGGGCCAGTCTGATCTGCATGCACTGATAAAGACTTTTAATAGTGTGTGTACTCAGGGGCCTTTCCAACCAACTCGCAGCTGGTGTTATGAAGTGCCTGAAGAGTCTGATCCTGTTCCTGTGGTTAAAGGTGTCCTTCATTATGGAGTCAGCATATCTTTCATTTCCCTGAACCATTCAGAGGGAAACCTTCTGGGCCCTCTGCATTATTTTGTTTTAATTCAATTTTTTTTTACTCCTTATCCATAATTTGATTTGACAAAAATACCTTGATATAGGTTTTGTCTATTTGAGTGTTTGCATACATTTTATAAAAGGTTACAGATAGCCACATGCTAGCTGTGTTTGAAACTTGTTTTAGGGTCCTTTATTTTAAAAATTGTGTTTTGTGCCTGTTGCTTTTTTGATCTGTTTGCAAGATTTCCCTCCTGTTTCATTATATCTTTGTTTTAAAAATAACCGTTTAAAAAAAATGTAATTTAAGAGAAATTCATTCAGATGGTTCTTGGTAATTTTCCATTTTTGTTTGTTGATTAAAACATTTGTTCCAGTGTGAAGCTGCTTCAGTTTTAGTTCTCTCTGCTTTTTAAAGTTTGAACAATAGCCTATTACTTTTTATCTAAGGACAGCTGTGCATGCATCCCATCAACAGGGACACTTATCTTTATTGTACGGATAACCTTTGTTATCTGGCTTAAATTGCTCCCTCATTTAGTTAAGAAACCTCGAGTTCAGTACCAAGACCGTTTTTTTCCTTTGAAGTCCAAGTATGAAGACCATGGAGCCCGCAGTATGATCCGATAAATCCATGGTCCGAATACATCAATTTTTACAGTGTACACATCTCTTTGAATATATAAAGAAAGCCTTGAGTATACAGAATGAGGATGTGAGAAAAAGATGTAACCTCTCCTTGTCGGATTTAGGTCACTCCACAGATCTCCCATCATTCCCCCCCCCTGGGGAGAGAGGTTTTAATGTATTCAGATCTGGGTTGAAATCTCCCCCCAAAAAATAGGATTCCTTGAGAGTTTATATTATTCATTTAAAATGTATTTTTAACACTTCCATTCATATCCCGGAGAAACCCATTCTGAAGGGAATCTAAGACACCCTGTACAAGTACAGGTGTCCCATCTTTATCTCATCGTTCAACATTTGGACTGAGGTTGTTCCCCCCTCCTTCCCTTCCTCTGGGTCAGCAAATACAATCTGTCTGGAGCCACAAAACATGTTTGATAGCACAGCTTATGAAGTTTTATGTATAGATATGTACAAAAACTATAAATGATTGTGTTTATAAAATAAAGAACAACAATAAAGAGAACTGCTTCTACATGTTTGGTATGTTAACCTGTTAAGACAAAGCAAATCATCAAACCCGTTTGAAGAAGAAAAAAAATTAAAAACTAAACCACCTTGAAATTAAAAAAACGTAAATAAAAGTAAATAAGTCTTTATCCATGGTTAGCTAACTGAGGCTGAGATGATGTGCAAGAAGAGTCTCCACGCCGCAGATGGATGTGAAGCATATTCTAGTTGTCGTTTATATAGGCCTAATATTAACACACAGTCACCTCAAACTCAAACAGTGGGTGGAGAAAACAACAAACCCAGAGTCCTACAGCATCGTCAACCCAGTCTCACGGCATTTTGTGTTATAGTCACAACATTTAATCTATTGTTTCATGTTCACCAACACGATTTCCCCCTTTTTTTCGTGTCACACAGAACGATTTTAAAAGCAATGTATTTCTATTGGTAGTATGTTTCGTGCCTGCAACACGTCTTTTTGTCCGGTCGGGTCTTGGAAGACCGGAAGCTGTGTGGTTCATAAAAACATGTTCTTACTCAATATCAAGCCGCGATTATTGTTTTTAATTTAAAATCTTATAATTTCGGACTTTTTTTGCCGACCGCGAGGAAAAGAAATGGGGCTCAGAGCCTCAGAATACTGAAATCTGTATTTTTAAAATCTTTTCTTCCTAATTTGTTATTCTTTTCTAAATAACACACTGTTATTTACTCAACAATAACACACTTGTTTTTTTTAAATAAAAATCCTTGTTTTTATTTATTTGTTTAATTCCATAATCTCAGGCTTTTTTGGCATCCGTCAGGAACTGAATTTCAAAATAAAGTCACCGGAAACAGATACACACCCACAAGATCCTCAGCTATGGTTTAAGCTCGGTGATTGGATTGTTTAGCCGCAATGCACGTTGGGATATGGTGTTTATGCGATATGAAATCCGAAAAACATTTAAAAAAAAAAAAAAAAATGTTTTTATTCCGAGTGTGCTTGCTTTTCTCTTTGAACGTCATCACATAACGGCATTGTAATACACGGTTCGGCTGCATTAAATATTACATATCTGCCGTAGTTCTGTATTTATAGAGCACTGCTGAGAAGACTTCCAGACAAACAGGAGAACTGCCGCCAACACTGAAAACGTGACGTGGATCATAAATATATCAGCAATTAAACAACATCTTACATTTCTTTTCACACAATACGTCTCCTTGCAGTATCAACACTAATTCGGCTGACTTTTGTATTTGATCCAATTGGTAGATAGGCTGTATTTAAACCATAACTGTGCACAGCTGATAGAAAAGGACTTGTAGTTTTTAAAGATATTACTGATTTCTTTGAATACATACGTTTTTTTGAAGCTGTTGTTGGCCTGTGGAAAAATGTACTCATAAGAAATGACTCTGGAAAAGCTGCAGATAGAGCCATAACAATGAATGCAACTAATTATGTAATGTTTAATGTTGTTTTTATAGGCAATAATTTAAGCTTTGTTAGTTCCAGGTTTAATATGTGCAATAAGTTCATTTCAATACGTTTTGCAATAAACATTGAACCAGTCCGGCCCTCCACTAGTACCCATTTTAAAATGTTGGCCCACTGTGTATTTGAGTTTGATACCCCTGCTCTATAGCATATTTTACTACTGCTCCCCAATCTCCAGTCCAGTAGGTGGCGGTAATGCAAACTGCTAATAAACCTCAAGAAGAAGAAGAAAAAGGAGAAGAAGAAGAAAAAGGAGAAGGAGAAAAAGAAGAAGTAGTTCTGCTTTCTGTCTGCCAAACATGGAAGTCTTTCAGACGTGGTTCTGCATTGTGTTGGATAAAAAGAACCACTCTAAATTTATATGCTACACACACAGGAAAAACGGAATGTCGAATATTTGGTGAGTCACAGTTTGTGTGAAAAAGAATATTTCTAAGACTCAGAGAAGGCTAAAAGCTCCATTGAAGTAACTTGGAACAGATTAGTATGGCTGTTCTTATGAGCGAAATATCAGAACATATAGCAGATGTTGTGAGCCTCTTAGACCGTAATACTTCAGAGATTTCATCTGTCAGCTTCGTCCTGCAGTCTGATGGACTGACACTGTTTCTCTGACCCCTTTGTGACCTCCTGCAGTCTGACAGATGCCACTGATGTGTGGAGCACAGAGGTCACCGAGGACACCTTCAAGCAGTCTGTAGGGGGGAGTGGGGTAGGATGAGCCCATCTTTACTTATGTTGTCCTCTAGGCAAAGAAAAATTAGATAGAAGTCAAATAACAACAACAACAACCTTTACTTCAGGATGTCTTCTGTCCATCAAAATGTAGCCATCTAAAACTGAACAATTGACTTTTTTTTGTTTAAACCTGAAAAATATAATAACCTTTCTCTGCCTAGCTGCTTTGGTGTCTGCACTGTAGTCAACATTATAAATCATGTTTGGAGGGGATTTGATGCATGAAAGAGCCAGATCTGAATCCGAATGAACTAAACGGCCCTAAACAGAATCCTTGTAAAGGTGGCTGGTAGGTAAACACATGTACTGTACCAGTCTGTTGTACATGTGTTTACTGATTTATTTCTAGTCTTTGATAGTTATTCAGGTTATCAAATGTAACGCTCATCTGTCGGTCACTTTAGCCAGATTGTCAAAGAACTCCTCTACTGTCGTTTTATTGAAGACTGTAGCCGTTCCTAAAGAAGTAGCTTCAGCATCTGTGGGTCTCTCTCCTTCATTACATTACATTGCATTTAGCTGACGCTAATTTCAAGTGCTACTCAACTGGCTTTAGGTAAGCCAGTCCTTTATCAGTATATAAGTGCTTTGTTAGTAATTCTATCGCTCGAAGTGGAGTCGAAAGAGATGAGTTTTCAGACATATGAAATACAATGATACACTACTTAAGAGACCTAACTTAACTTCAGAGCCTCATGGGGGGTTAAATTGAACCACTGGCTCATACACCTGTTTGTTTAGGGGCAGAGGATTGCCTTGAAGTCTACAGTGGATTATATTCTGAACCTCAGGTGAGATTATAGTCTTTAAAACCACTTTGTCTGATATGAATCATTATTAATAATATCATAATCATAATATCACACCGTTATTCAGGCTTTATATGCTTCTGTCTTTCCCCTAGGTCAGCCTGTGGTCAGGGGGGGGTGTCTGTTGTGCTCCTTGACTCGTGTGCAGAGGTGTGTGTGAGCTCGGCTGCAGGGGACCTGAGTGTGACCCTGCCCAGGCTGGAGGCCCCCCGGGCCCCTGAGGAAGTGAAGGAGCTGCTGTTCAGGATGGCTGAAAGTAAATGTATTTATTGCAGTGACGTCACATTCAGTGCAGGGTTTGCGCTTATTTAATAATAACTTTATTTATCCCCAGTTTAAACTCTACGCTGTCATCTTGTCCACCGCTCCCTCAGGTGGACCCCCCTCTGTCGGTCCAGTTAAACCTGACCAGTGGCGGCCTGCAGGTATGTTTCTAAAGAGATCTACAGTTACCAAATTACAAGTTTATTTTCCACTTTTTTTTGTGAGGGGGGCGGGGGGTTCTGCAAGTATAGCAAAAGGCAGAAAACACGAGTGCATGACAGCTGTCATGACATTGAGTTGGACAATTATTTCGTCACAGACATTGTGCAAGAAAAAAAATCTTAAAAATAGAATGAAATACAAATAAAATTAAGCTTTGAAAGCCAAAATATACATTTTCACAGTAGAGAAGACATTTATCTAGAGGAGTATCTAAGAATACACACTATAAAATATAAATAATAAATTATATAAATACTCTCTAATATACCAATCTACTAAAGGGACAGAAATATATATAAACATAGTGTACTGTACATCTTTTTATTTAAAGTTGACTATTTTCTGTGAGTTAGTATTCTATTTTGGTCGTTTGCCTAATTATTCTATTAAGTTTGGAAACCCTGAGGGGCAAGGTGAATAATAAAGTCTATTAAAACAAATCAGGGCTGTGATGGTGGGCTGTGATGGTGGGCTGTGACGGTGGGCTGTGACGGTGGGCTGTGACGGTGGGCTGTGACGGTGGGCTGTGACGGTGGGCTGTGACGGTGGGCTGTGATGGTGGGCTGTGACGGTGGGCTGTGACGGTGGGCTGTGACGGTGGGCTGTGACGGTGGGCTGTGATGGTTGGCTGTAACGGTGGGCTGTGATGGTGGGCTGTGACGGTGGGCTGTGACGGTGGGCTGTGACGGTGGGCTGTGACGGTGGGCTATGATGGTTGGCTGTAACGGTGGGCTGTGATGGTGGGCTGTAACGGTGGGCTGTGACGGTTGGCTGTAACGGTGGGCTGTGATGGTGGGCTGGGATGGTGGGCTGTGATGGTGGGCTGTAACGGTGGGCTGAGATGGTGGGCTGTGATGGTGGGCTGTGACGGTGTGATGGTGGGCTGTGACGGTGTGATGGTGGGCTGTGATGCGGGGCTGTGATGGTGGCTGTGACGGTGATGGTGGGCTGCAGCGTTTCCGCCAGGGGGGCGTCTTGCCGTCATTTGACGCCCTTATTCAGCTCGGGACGCCCTGAACTCGAGCCGAGGGCATCCAACAATATTAATAATTCGAGAGAAGATCGAGAGTTTTTATCGCTTGAAATGACGAAAAGGAAAAAGGACAAGGACATCCCTCTGTTGGAGGGGCAAAGGAGTCTGGTGGTATTCTTTTCGGAGTATTGAAGATCGTTTCCCCGACATCAAAGGTGCCTGCTACCGGACAACACAGAACGTGCGCGATTTGGAAGCAATGAGCGGGGGGGTTTTAGTGGAGCACGCGCGTGAACTGCGAGCGCCGGAGCCTCGCAGCGGCAATACTGAGGCTCCGCGGTAAATTGTGGGTAACATGAAGAGCCGTTTGGGAGCCGAAACAGCTGGCGCTTCGGGGTGGACGCCCTCTCAGCCCTGGTCTGGCAGAAACACTGGTGGGCTGTGACGGTGTGATGGTGGGCTGTGATGGTGTGATGGTGGGCTGTGATGGTGGGCTGTGACGGTGATGGTGGGCTGTGACGGTGTGACGGTGGGCTGTGACGGTGGGCTGTGACAGTGGGCTGTGATGGTGGGCTGTGACGGTGTGATGGTGGGCTGTGATGGTGGGCTGTGATGCTGTGATGGTGGGCTGTGACGGTGATGGTGGGCTGTGACGGTGTGACGGTGGGCTGTGACGGTGTGATGGTGGGCTGTGACGGTGTGATGGTGGGCTGTGACGGTGTGATGGTGGGCTGTGACGGTGGGCTGTGACGGTGTGATGGTGGGCTGTAGGGATGGGTATCGTTTTAAATTTATCGATTCCGATTCCGGTTCTGCTTATCAATTCCGGTTCTTATCGATTCCCCGTTTCGATTCCAAAATTGTAAAAGAAAGAGGTCAAACGTTTAGATAACAAAAATATCTTTATTCTTTTCAGCTTTAACTGAAATTGTTACAAATAAAAAAATATACATGCAATACAAATGTATTGCACAATAGCTGTGCTTTATTTTAACTGAGCTATGCCTGTGGCAAGCTATTAACACTGTGCCCAATTGTCTTTTTATTTTTAGTGTAGTGGAGCCTCACTTCAGAGCGTTTACCGCGACCCATCTTTGGTGTTATGAAGTGACTGAGCTCGTGAACTGTCTACGGGAGGGCGGGGGGAGCCTCGCTGCGGGGCAACTGTGGACCTCTGTCGCCTGTCAGCGCAACTTACATGATGGCGTTTAAAAAAATTAAGGGCGGTGCCGGCCATCAGCGTACCGAGCCGGCCGTCAACGGCCCGCTGACGACCGGCCGTTCTGTGATTCTCCAGGTCCGCCCTGTATTCCACCGGGTCGCCGCGGTACAGACGGACCCGCTGGAATACAGGGTCTACCGCGTTTAGGAACCGTTAAGCAGAACCGAAAAGGTGTATTTTGTACGGGTACCCGGTACCCGGCATTTTCTTATCGGTTCTCATCTGGAACCGAGTTTCGGTTCCCAACCCTAGTGGGCTGTGATGCGGGGCTGTGATGGTGTGATGGTGGGCTGTGACGGTGTGATGGTGGGCTGTGATGCTGTGATGTTGGGCTGTGACGGTGGGCTGTGATGGTGGGCTGTGATGCTGTGATGGTGGGCTGTGACGGTGTGATGGTGGGCTGTGATGGTGGGCTGTGATGCGGGGCTGTGATGGCGGGCTGTGACGGTGTGATGGTGGGCTGTGACGGTGGGCTGTGATGGTGGGCTGTGATGCTGTGATGGTGGGCTGTGATGCGGGGCTGTGATGGTGGGCTGTGATGGGGGGCTGTGACGGTGTGATGGTGGGCTGTGACGGTAGGCTGTGATGGTGGGCTGTGACGGTGGGCTGTGATGGGTGGGCTGTGACGGTGGGCTGTGATGCGGGGCTGTGATGGTGGGCTGTGATGCTGTGATGGTGGGCTGTGATGGTGGGCTGTGATGGTGGGCTGTGACGGTGGGCTGTGATCTGTGATGGTGGGCTTCTCCTCAGAGGGCCAGCAGAGTGCAGCTCCAGCAGTGACGATGAAGAAACGACTTCCAGGAACTTCTCTTATCAACCCAGGAACTAAAAGGTACAACGAGTCGTCCCTAACTCTCTGACAGTACTCGCATATATTATCTGCAAACGTAAAGCAGTGCTGCTCGTCCTGCAGGAAGCGCCCGGCGACCGGCGTGGCCTTCGACGAGGAGGGGGAGGAGAAGGAGGAGGAATAGGAGGAGGAGGAAGAGGAGGACTGATCCTGCAGCGGCCCGCTTTCTTCTCAATGTTTTTAATGGCAGATGATATCAAATGAAACGACTACAATTTGAAATGGTCATTTATTAAATAAATAAATAAATCATTGTGAAACTTCTTTTTTTTTTATAGACTGTGGTTTACACTCTTGAAATCGGTTTTCATTGTTATGTCTAGTTTAAATTAAACATAATAAAATTAATCAATTTTTTCGGTAAAACAAAACTAATGAAAAATATAGAGCACATGGCGAACTTTGAATATAAACATATTTTATTTGAGTATTTGCACACTTTCTGAATACATATCTAAGACACATGCACATCTGTTACTTGTTTCATTCAGTATTCTGTGTTTGCTGAAAATGGCCATGGCTTTTCTCATTAGAATGATCTGATAATCCATGTCTACTCATTTCATTTAAAAAGACTGGAAGGCTTGATCTGCTGCTCACACTGCTGAGGTCAGGCAGAAGCACAGCATTTTTATGAGGGGGGGTGGGCACTCACTGTTTCACTGCAAAATACGAGTTGAGAAACAGCTGTTTAACCATACATGAACTTAAATGTCAGATTTGTCGAAATGAGATTCACACAATAAACAGTTATAAATAATACATTTTACATATAGTTAGAGAGGGTGAAAAGCTCTGTTCTCACTGTCCACTTTCCTCTTCTTGGAGAGCGCCATGTGTCATTATTTGTCTCTCCCTGTCTGCCGCTAACACGCCTGTTCACTCTCCTCCGCTTCTCTCTGCCGCTCTCTCGTCTCTTCTTCTGTGTTTCTCTCCCTGTATCGCTCACTCGTCTCTTTCGCCCCCTGTCGGCGGCGTTTAAAATAGAATCGTCCCGTCAAAATTGAAATCCCCTATTAATGTATTGATTATAGGTCTGGGTCCGTATAGGTCGGCGTCTGGGTCCGGACCGCGGTCCGCCTGTTGCCGACCCCTTGTTAGTGGGAATGCTGACACAGCATTCCCACTATCTGTTATGCTACGCACAAAATTATTTATTATTCCACCGGGTTATTTTGCGCCACTTCTCCTCCCACATTGAACTTTAAAATGTTACACATCTTTCTGACATTATTCGTGTAACACAACTTTTAAATCTGATTCTTACTTTTAGAGATATTAAACATTGTTCAGACCTTGATAAAGAGGCCTTCTTCTTCGTGATGTCACAGCTAGAGTGGAGGACAGATTTAATGTTGCCTTCATATTTTCTTTTAAACCTGCCATAATTCCCAAACCCTACATTCCTGAGACATAATTTCTCATGAGAAACGTAGGAAAACATCTCGTAGCTTGAAAGATACAAAATAATTAAGCAAAAAATAATTAAACAAAATGCCTCTTGAGGGCATGAAGTGACACAACCTTTCAACATGTCTCCATTAAAACCCATTGTAAATTCAGCCTCACCTTTCCCCACCACAGCAGCCGCACACCTTTAGTTAATCTGCCAAAAAGGCCACATTATTAACCCGAAAGTACACAAAAAGTACACTTCAGATGCTCAAGTTCCTTGACATGCTTCACGCTTTGAAATTCCACCGATATCTGTTACGGTTCTTCAACAAAACATTCACATGTAACAGGTTTGTCTCTCATTCAGAACAATGAAAATGCTCTCCTCTCACTGATCACCATGGAAACCTTTGATCTCTGGACACCTCGTTAGCTCAAATATAAACACCTGTGTCATGGAACACGATGATGTCATAACTCCAATTGACATAATTAGAGCAGCAGACTAATGACGTGGTCACTGGAGTTTAACAGACTGTCTCAGCCTATTCTTTTCCGTCTGATGGAGACTTCATACTGACTTCAACATGTTCCACATATTTTAGACATTATTGGTGACGTATGCTTTTAGTTCTAATGTGTTCAGTTCAAATATTCTGCTGCTTTTTCATACATTTAGACTTTTAGTTTATTGTTCTTATTTCACATTCAAGTCCCCTCTATTCATGAACCCTTTAAAGTACTCAGCCACACCACCAGGTGCGACTGTTGCTATGTCAGTTAATCTTTCAAATACAAGGTTGCTTGTTTGATTCAAGCTCTTGTAGTCAATATGTCAAGGTATTTATCCCTAACATTTTATCAGCTAACTAATGACACACACTCAGAGGATCTTTATAAACGTTTTAAGTATTGCACATCTTTCAACATGACTCTTATAAATCACTTTTAAAACCAGCGATGCACTACAGTGTCAGCTTTTCTAAAATAGAAACTACAATGTTCACATCTTTCTAAATGATTCTACTTTTCAATGACCTACAAATAATCCTAATAAGAATCCCATTTTCTATCTTCCAACTGTTCATATTTTTTGGTCAATTAACAAACCTGTTACAAATGTGTTGTTCAACAAATTTGAGCCTTTGCCACATTTATTTGAATTATTTATATAATTCCCACATAATGGGGAAGCTTCCCACTCTATGTTATGTAAATACAAGTATTTGACAAGAAAATATGTGAATTTCTAAATATTTAATGTCAATCCCTGGTTTTGGTATGTTCACTGTACTGTAGGTTATTTAGTTGGAATGCTGACACAGCATTCCAACTGTTATGCTACGCACAAAATTATTTATTATTCCGCCGGGTTATTTTGGCCCTCTTCTTCTCCCGCATTGAACATCGCTGAAACTCTGTTCAAACATCAAAACGTTCAGCTCGGTCGGGAATCGATGGCTATTACTTTTCTTATTCATAACTTTCATAATTCCGGAGATACATCCCATAATATCACATTTTTAACATGGAAGTCAATGGAGAAACTCTTCAGACTTGAACAATCTTCATGCAACTGCTAACTGCTCCTTCATACTTTCACTCAGAAACCTCATTCCAACTTTAAAATGTTACACATCTTTCTGACATTATTCGTGTAAAACAACATTTAAATCTGATTCTTACTTTTAGAGATATTAAACATTGTTCAGACCTTGGTAAAGAGGCCTTCTTCGGATTTTAGAGTACGTGATGTCACAGCTAGAGTGGAGGACAGATTTCATTTTGAAAAAAACAAACATGGAAACCTTTGATCTCTGGACAAAAAAAACGATGTCGCTGTAGCTCCAATGGACATGGTCCAGTCGTCCCACAATCTTCACCTGTATATCACCGGTCCATGCCTCAACAGCTCTACGTCAAATCTGACATCTCACCATATGCCGTTTCCATGGAAACGCATCCCTCACCATAAAACACGATGTTTTCGTAACGCCTATGAAAAGGGTCAAAACAGCACCACACTTCAGATAATGGTTAACGGTACAGCCCTCAACAGCTCTACGTCAATTATGGGGTTTCATCATATGCCGTTTCCATGGAATTCCCTCGCCATAAAAGACGATGTCGCTATACTGTAACTCCGATGAAAATCTTCAAAAAGTGCTCAAACTTCACGTGTGCTAACAGTCCAGCCATGAAGACATCTACGGGACAGTTTTTAGATTTCTTCAAATGCCGTTGCCATGGCAACACAATGCTCGCCATGAAACACGGTTTTCTCATAACTTCAGTGAAAATGCTCCAAACGGCCCAAAACTTCACAGGTTTGGTAACGATGCAGCCATCAACGCATCTAAGCGTATTATGGGATGTCATCAAATGCCGTTGGCATGGCGCCATCAAGTTAGTTCAAAAGCCTGCAGTTCAATTATTCTGCTGCTTTTCCAAGCCTTTTTACTTTCTTTTCTTTTCTTCTCTCATCACACATTAAAGCCCCCAGTGTTCATGTATCATTTCAAGGGAGTGGCTATATACAGGACCGTCCTGTACACAACGCCAAATGACTATATACAGGACTGTCCTGTACACAACGCCAAATGACTATATACAGGACCGTCCTGTACACAACCCTCTGAAATGGCTATACAGGACGGTCCTGTATATAAGGTCTCTGAAATGGCTATATACAGGACGGTCCTGTATATAAGGTCTCTGAAATGGCTATATACAGGACCGTCCTGTATACAAGCTCCGAAATGGCTATATACAGGACCGTCCTGTAAACAGCTCTCTGAAATGGCTATATACAGGACGGTCCTGTATATAGCCATTTCGGAGCTTGTATACAGGACGGTCCTGTATATAGCCATTTCAGAGACCTTATATACAGGACCGTCCTGTATATAGCCATTTCAGGGCTTCTGTGCAGGACCGTCCTGTATATAGCCATTTCAGAGAGCTGTGTACAGGACGGTCCTGTATATAGCCATTTGGCGTTGTGTACAGGACCGTCCTGTATATAGCCTCGGCCTCATTTCAATCTCAATTCTTCACTTTCTTCTTACACATTACATTTCAGCATAGCAGTTTAGCGTCAGCTTTTCAGCATAAAGCATTCCCACTAGCAATTTCTTCAGGAATTGCATTCTCTAGTTTAAAATGATGTACTGTTTTGGTTTTTAAAAAACTAAAGAGAATAAATGACAGTCACACTTGCATCCCTTTGACAGCACTGCAAAAACAAAAATCCAGCAAAAGGCTGCTGTCTATTTTTGATTGTTTTATTATTATGGGATTAGGATAAATTGAATAAACTTTAACCTAAATAAAAGATGATCAAATCTGATGGAAATATTTAAAATAGGCTCTTTTTTAGCCCTACCTCAAAGCAGCATGAGCTGAATAAAAAGGTAGTAATGTTGTCCCAAAGTTTAATAAACAGTAAAACATTGCATAATGTCAGATAAATCAATAAAGCTAACAGCAGCTACACGTCAGGGTAGCATTTTATAAATCCCACCGTACTGTAGGCTATACCGGTCTAAATGTTTTCACTTTGGTCTATTTATGTAATATAAAGTATAACTTATCTATAACAGAGCCAAGATCTCTGTATGACTTTAGTAAACTTCTGAATTTAATTAAGAATAAGTGCAGTACGTCCAGCTAGCTAGTTAGCGGCACGTATTTAACCTTATTATTTAACGAAAATGTACGTTTTAATGCCACTTGGGTTTGACGTGTGGGACGTTAGTTAATTTAAAGTAAGTTAAAACCCAATACTCACATTTATTAGTGATTCCTCCGCTTGCTGCTGCTTTTAAATCCACTCTGTCTGCTGGGAAGACCGGAAGCCATTTCATTTGAAAAAAACTCACTCTTCCCTGCGCGCATTGCACCCTGGGATATGGTATCCTTCGTGGTCTACCATATCCTGCATTAACTTTTTTAATTGTAATTTTCAGGCAAGGTTAAGCATAAATCTAGTAAAAAAAAAAACCTGCAAGTCGCTTTTTAACATTCTAAGTAAATAAAAAAATTACAACAGTGAGTTTCCCTGTTTAATGTCAACTCCTTCAAGTAGGAAAACAGCTCATCAGTGCCATAATAATCATCAACAATATGACTGCATTAGCTGTGAAATACATTTTGAAAAACAGATATGTTCGACAAGAATGTTAACAACTTAATAACCACAAAATCATAAGACCAGTTCAAAGCCACATGCCAACATACGTCAGAGAAACATCCATACAAATAAATATATATATTTAGCACATTTGAGCTCCCCGAATTCCAAAGAGAACTACAAATAGTTTGAAAATCATAACAATAAATAAATGTGCTTTACCTAACTAAAACACTAGATTATTGGATCTGAGAGTTTCCTTCAGTATCACAGTGATGTCAGTGCAGTTATTGTCAGGTAATAGAAGCAGAGTGATTTACACTGCATGTTCAAACGGTTAGATTGCTGAGAACCTTTACTGGAGATTGAATTCTTCTTCTTTTCATATATTTTTATTATTTTACACTGTGTCCGGTATGTAGAGGATCTTCTTGGCAGAGTCAACAACATAATGATATGTTAAAAGCACAAAAGAGAGCATTCAGCAGAACGAGATGATGTACAAAATGAGAGCAGGTAACATGCCGCTACATTCCCTCATGTCCGACATCCAGGTCAAAGAAAAGGCAACAGCTCTTTCTAAGGTGCATTTCAATAAATCATATGTTATCACACACACACACACACACACACACACACACACACACACACACACACACACACACACACACACACACACACACACACACACACACACAACACACACACACACACACACACACACACACACACACACACACACACACACACACACACACACACACACACACACACACACACACACACACACACACACACACACACACACACACACCACACACACACACACACACACACACACACACACACACACACACACACACACACACACACACACACACACACACACACACACACACACACACACACACACACACACACACACACACACAAGTCTTATTTTGCAAGTCCAAGTCAAGTCTCAAGTCTTTGGTCACGAGTCCAAGTCAAGTCTCAAGTCTTTGTGGGGTGAGACTTGATCAAGTCTCAAGTCTTTGGTCACGAGTCCAAGTCAAGTCTCAAGTCTTTGTGGGGTGAGACTTGATCAAGTCTCAAGTCTTTGGTCACGAGTCCAAGTCAAGTCTCAAGTCTTTGTGGGGTGAGACTTGATCAAGTCTCAAGTCTTTGTGGGGTGAGACTTGATCAAGTCTCAAGTCTTTGGTCACGAGTCCAAGTCAAGTCTCAAGTCTCTAACAAATAAAAGTCTCATGTCTCTTCTGGTTGTAATAAGCCTTCTATTGTCTGCTGCTATCCAGTCTGTTAAGAATACTGCACAGCTATATCTAAGAAATTCAAAGCATTTACTGTATTATTATCACTCCTATATCTATTAGCATACAGTATCAGTACTGATTAGTTGTTTGTTATATGATCACTTTAAACAGGCTATTGCAATATGAGGAAAAACATCACACTTTAGCTAAATGCAAACAACTTATAAGCAAAACACTTCAGAACCAGAAATCAGTATCACAAATACTTTATTAATCCCCCGCAGGGAAACTGTGTTAAAAGTACTTCAAAGTAAACATTTGTTCTGTGCCATTTGCAACTAAAAAACTATTGCTGCAATATTATCTGAAATATACTGAACTGGTGATATTAAAACATGACCTGTTCCAAAAGAGATATCTACCATTAACACCATTTACCAGCCAAATGCTGGTAAATCATGCAAGTGGCTGGTACTGTATGTTGCACGCACCAGCCACAAATAACAATGGCAATCTATTGAGTGGCTGGTAACATTTCAACATTCACTAGGCTAGCCATTTGGCCAGTGGACAAAAATGTTAACATTTGACCTCTGCAACCGTATTGTTTAATTACACTGGGTCTCTAATGACATCTTTTAAGTCTACTATAAATAAACATATTCCTCTATCCTCTCACTCAAACCCAGTGTAATGGTAACCTGATAAACCTGTAACATTAACGTTACGTGGTCAACAATAAACCTGTAACCTGCCTATAAACCGACAGATGTATTTATGTATGTAACTATGTATTTTTCTACGTTTAACGTTAGCCAGTAGATGGTGGCAGCGGAACGTAATGATTAACGTTACCGACCTTTTTTATGTCATGTCAAGAGTTGGATGTCAACGCCAGTCAACGCAAACAAGTGTGACAAGCAAACATTCACTCATCTTTTCAAATATTCAGTTACAAAGCTAGTAGCAAGCTAAGTTAACATTACATAGCTGATGCTGAGCTAAACATGTTTGCTAACCGTCCATATGCGTTAATGTGACTGACCTCTCCGGGTGAGTTTTCAAGTGCCTGATGAAATTTGACGTTGTTGCACCAGCATCCTTGATTTTAATATTGCAGACTTTGCAGTGTGCGCTCCTTTTGTTGGTGCTGCCGGCGTTTTGTTCGAAGTTTTTATAGTTGAACCCAATTACAAGCGGTACAGCTGCAGGTGTGCCGCTAGTCGCCATGGTGTTACCATGATGTTAATGTTAATGTTAAAGGTGGGGTAGGTAAGTTTGAGAAACCGGCTCGCGATACACTTTTTGTTATATTCCATGGAATGCTCTTAACATCCCGATAGCCGGCCCGGCTAAAGTAACTGGATGGCCTACCTGCCTGTCAGCCTCCCATCGGGGCACAAACTTATCTCGTGCCCTCATTGGTCATGTGCGCGTTCGTGTGTGTTGGAGGAGGGGCTCTGTGAGGAAGTGGCAGATTTTCTCCGGTTGTGTATTTTCAAATTCTAGCGATCTCGAGCCGGTTTTTCAAACTTACCTACCCCACCTTTAATACGCCAAAAATAGAAAACACAATGATTGTTCACGAGTCCCAAAACACGAGTCCAAGTCGAGTCCGAAGTCTTTTGAGCAGGAGTCCAAGTCAAGTCTGAAGTCTGTGTGTGCGACTTAAGTGCGACTCGAGTCCGAGTTACAAACTCGAGTCCCCATCTCTGACACACACACACACACACATACACACACACACACACACCAGTCCATAGCTCCAAAATAAATCATTCTTCTTGCCACATCAAAAATAGACTGTATCACATGTCCAATGGGGAGGGACTTCATCACAGCATGCTCTCCTTCAGTCTGGTCCAGTCTGGTTGAGTCCGGTTCAGTCTGGTTCAGTCTGGTTCAATCTGGTTCAGTCTGGTTCAGTCTGGTTCAGTCCGGTTCAGTCCGGTTCAATCTGGTTCAGTCTGGTTCAGTCCGGTTCAGTCTGGTTCAGTCTGGTTCAATCCGGTTCAGTCTGGTTCAGTAAGGGCCTGCTCTGGTTACATGAGGCCCTGTTAGTAGAATGCGCGTTCCACCAACTTAAAGTAACCTGTGCTGTCAAACACTTTAACATATCTCCAACCAATGATTTGATCATCCACTGAAAATGTAGCTTGCCTACTGTATTCATCACTCATTTAGTGAGATACATTCTTAAACATTTTTTTAAAAGGGAAACATTCCAGGACCAAGTTTTCAGTCTGAATGCTGCTGCTGTCTCCAGCTGCCAAACCACATGAGTCCCTCACAGAATACAACATTTGAGGCGGAAATTCTGAACTACTGGTCCTATGTTTCACGATGCAGAGTTTTGGTCCTCTTCAGGGTTAAGATCAGCAGCTCTGAAGACCCCCTACTGCTCTCTGCCCTTCAGAGGCTCTTTCAACAGAGAGTGTCCGTGTTGAAGGACAGCTGCACCTGCCAAACACACATCCATATGTAGGTAAATCTGTGCAGGAGCAAACAATAATAACATCACGCAAACAGAATGCAACCAACACTTTTACATGTTCAAGGCCACTACAATGACTGACACTTGTATACAATTAGGAGAATAGACAGACCAAGGGTTCATTCTGACAGTTGCAGAGGACAGAAGTAGTGCTGTAGCCATGTTACAGGAAGTGCATCCTGTCTGTGGAACGGTTGTATTCTGTGTACTATTACATCACTTTACTATATCACTATATTGAGCCAAGAGGCGAACATCCTGTAAGCTTCCATGGAGCCTATGATCAGTCTACAGTCAGTTGAGATCAGCTTAGAGCTTCTTCTCTCTCATCATGAGTAAGAGGAATACGCCAGAGGAAGCTCACAACAAAATACATCTCTGATCTATTGAAAACGACAAAGACTTTATTATTGTTGTCAACTTTTTAGTTAAATAAATGAAGAAAGTTGTGATCCTCTCACCCTTTCCTCTTCAAAGCTGATGAGTCCTTCGTCATCGTCGCTCTCCAACTCGGCGGGCGCCTCGCTGATCAGAGCGCTGAGCTCCGTGGGGGCCGGCTGAGACTTCAGCAGGTTGAGGATGCGCTGCAGGGGGGACTGTCCAGGCACCGGGGGGGACACCTCCTGCTGATCCAGGTTGTCACTCTGCTTCTTGGCAAAGTTGACAAACACCTTAGCAGAACAACAGAATAAAGGGGATTTATTCCATTTGTTTCCCTTGTGGGATGTCCTGCATGAAGCTGATCCAGGTGCAGTGCCTCACATTGTCCAGAGTGGTCTGACTGACGGAGTAGTCCTCGATGCCCAGCACCTCCACCACCTGCTCCATCTTACTGAACACCTGAGCCAGGGAGATCCGCTCAGACTTCAGCTGGTACTGGATCTTAGTGTGGTGACGCTCCTGCAAAGTTCACAACAGCTGGCAGTCTTCAATGAGTAGACAAAGATCACTAACCTAACCCTCCTCAACAAAATCTGAGAAAAAGCTGGAAATGTCAAATGTGAAATATCAAATGCGACAAAACCAAAGTAGAGTTACAGCCTCGGTCAGCTGGTACTCCCTGTGTCCAACATGTCAACACACGTTTTTATTCTATTGTATTTTCTTGTGAAATTGTGATAGTAATAGGAGTATGGATGGACAAACGTTTTTTGTTAGCGAACAGCGAACAGGGACTTCTTCATTCTTATCATTTCATCCCTGAGTCAGAATGATCTGAGCTCCTGACCCCCGCTGGCAGGCAGAGGGACTGGGTTTCACAACACTACCATAATAATTCAATCATATTTGGAAGTTATACATTTCTTCAATAGAAACATTGTAACGTGAACATTTTTGAACTTATTTGTATAGAAGATAAAGCAGATCAGTGACACTAAATAGATTTCTGAAAGGAATTAGCATAAGTAAGTGTGACAATCCGTTTTTTCAGCACTGTCGGCATTGTGATGGAAACTTCTGAAGCAATGGAGACGAAACTCAGAGAGACATGCGGAGAGCAGGAACTTTGATGGCAAACACTGAGGGTTTATTTGGAGCTTCGGCCGGAGAATTCACACGACATGTGCTGCAGCCACGAGGTGACACAGAAGTTGCCAAACCAATTCTGAAGATCTCTCCCCCAGACCCGTGTATTTAGCTGGTTCTGAGAGAATAATCAACATGCTGCATAACAAAATAAAGCACTATAACCTCTATCAGCTGACGCCAACAGGCAGGAACAGGGAGACAAAACACAGAGCTCAGCCTGTGCTTAGTGAGGGCAGTGCAAACTGATTAACTGGGTCAAGGCCTAGGAAAATATTTCCCCAACAGGTAACATACAGAAAGTATATTCAAACCTTGGTCCTCCCTGTATAGATGAAGCACACACTATGAGTCAATTATTCATTGTTAAGGCACTGTAATGTGTGTTGTGTATAAAGTGTCATTGTGTGTGTTGGTGTTTGTTTGATTTACAAAATAAAACCAACATTTTGAGATAAAAAAAGGCACCAACTTAGATTTGTTTCATTCAGAGGAATATGAGTTGATAGATTATCCTGGACTGGTATATGTCAAGGTTTAGTACGGATTAAAGATTTTTAATGGCAGCACAAATGACTCCAGAGGCCTGTACTACGAAGCTGGTTCAACCTAACCTGGATATGTTTGAGTTAGCCGGTTGGCCTAATCCAAAACATACGCGCTCTCGCTAAGCGGTCCTACGACGCGGGTTATCAAGTGGATCGCTCAAGCCAGCCGTGTCCTATCTAGTTAGGTGCGTGTTCACATGAGAGGGGTGGTATCTGGAGCATTCGACCAATCACAAACATGGAGAAGCGTACTGACAGCGCAGCGTCATACTTCCTGAATGAAAACTATAATATTAGTCAAATATGAAGAAGTTAAACTTTAAACATCCATGACTTAAACACTTTATCCAGGATCAAAGCCACAGAGCTGCACCTGCAAGGTGAATACAGCTGGTAACAGACAACCCAGTCTCACGGCATTTCGTGTTCACCAACACGATTTTTAATCTATTGATTCGTGTTCACCAACACGATTTGCCCCTTTTTTTCGTGTTGCACAGCACGATTTTAAAAGCAATGTATTTCTACTGCCTGCAGCACGCCTTTTTCTCCGGTCGGGTCGAGGAAGACCGGAAGCTGTGTGGTTCATAAAAACATGTTCTTACTCAATATCAAGCCACAGTTATTGCTTTTATTTGAAATCGTAACATTTCTGACTTTTGTTGCCGTCTGTGAGGAAAATAAATGGGGCTCAGAGCCTCAGGATACTGAAATCTGTATTTTTTAAATCTTTTTTTCCTTCTAATTTGTTATTCTTTTCAAAATAACACACTGTTATTTACTCACCAATAACACACAATTATCCTTGCTTTTATTTATTGGTTTAATTCCATAATCTCGGGCTTTTGTGGCGTCCGTCAGGAACTGAATTTCAAAATAAAAATAACCGGAAACAGACGTAGGCATTTCGAGCGATTACCCAAGATCCTCAGCTATGGTTTTAAGCTCGCTTATTGGATGTTTTAGCCGCAATGCATGCTGGGATTTGGTGTTTATATGATATGAAATCCGGAAAACATTTTAAAAGAATAAAATAATACTTAATTCCGAGCGCTCTTGCTTTTCTCTTTGAAAGTCATCACATAACGGCATTGTAATACACGGTTCGGCTGCATTGTATATTACAGATCTGCCGTAGTTCTTTATTTATAGAGCCCTGATGAGAAGACCTTTGGAAAAACTGAGAAAATGCCGCCGAAACTGAATACTTGACGTGGATCATAAATATATTCAACAATTAAACAACATCTTCAATTTCTCTTCACACAATACGTCTCCTTGCAGTATCAACACTAATTCGGCTGACTTTTACATTTGATCTAATTCACAGATAGGTTATATTTAAACCATAACGGTGCACAGCTGATATAAAAGGACTGTAGTTTTTAAAGATATTACTGATTTTCTTTGAATCAATGAAGCAATATGCTGTAAAATTATGTGAAAGCATGCATAAAACTACACATTTTCAGATGTTGTACGAAAACAAAAGTGTCCTACACTAATAATACAAAGTTATTATGGCTGTGTGTACCTTGTGTGCACCGCCTAGTGGTTAAAGTGGTTATTTAATTAAAAAAATATTAAGAGTACATACTTTCATAGGGGGAAAGTATAAATATAGAATATAAAAAATCAAGAAGATACTATAAGTGATCTCTACAATAAAACAGTTTAGTGCAGGATGTACAAATATATTAATAGGAGGAGGTGCAAAACAGAAAAACTAATTAACCTTTATTTAAACATTAAATAACAGATTAAGGTCTTCTTTTAAATAAGAAAAAAACTTTGGGGGTATCTATCTACAGATAAATATTAAGCCTGACAAAGTACTTAACGTCTAATATATTGCTTTCCTGCAATGTTAACTATGTTGAAGCACTTATTTTTAACTGATATTATACATATGAATTATACTCTTATGTAGATAGAATAAGAAATGTGCAGAATATGACAGTTTAATGGTGGAGGTACACACATATTGATAGATGTCTTGTAATGCACTGTTGAGGAACCTGTGACCCAAGTGTTTCATTCATTGCATAACTACACCGTAGTTGTGTATATGATATGTCAATACACCTTTGAAAATCTTGAAAGGGATGTGCAAAATAGCCATAATATACAGTCTTTAGTTAACTATTAGTAGAGAATAACGAGTAATGAATATACTTTATTACTCGTTTTTATTCATGTCAATTGCAGATACATGTTTAGTCTTCTCAAGCACCAACTATCAACTATCTCTCCTGATTGTTGGCACTTGACGATCACCTTACCTGAATTTTACTCAGGTGTAACTAAAGTCTGATTTAAGGGTTGTTTATATTTCACATCATTAATCAGAATCTGCAAAGTAACTCAAATAAATGCAGTGGAGTAAAAATACCAGCTTAACCTCTGAATTGTAGTGGAGTATAATTACAAAGTAACAATGAGCTGTCATGTGGGTATTAATGCTGCGCATTATGGACACAAGCGATTTTCACCCATTTATTAATTATATGTTTTACATTTGATAACACCAATGTGTTTAATACTGGCAACTTCTAATTGTGGGGAAAACGAAAACGTTCAGTAGAGACGTCCCATAGAACATTTTGCGAAACACAATAGCCAGCATGTGTAGTTCTGGGGGGGCGTTCGATTCCAGTGTTGGATAGTCTGGCGTGGTTTCGTTCCATTTCACACAGCTGTTTGACGCTCTGCGTAACCTTACGGGGACTGTAGTCCTAAACGATAGCTGGGGATTATGGGTAGTGTAGTGTCTTCGGCCATCCTAAACTCAGAAATGTTGACAATCGCAATGATGCTCGAAATGTCCCTTATAGGCCTACGTCTGTTTCCGGTTATTTTTATTTTGAAATTCAGTTCCTGACGGACGCCAAAAAAGCCCGAGATTATGGAATTAAACCAATAAATAAAAGCAAGGATAATTGTGTGTTATTGGTGAGTAAATAACAGTGTGTTATTTTGAAAAGAATAACGAATTAGAAGGAAAAAAAGATTTAAAAAATACAGATTTCAGTATCCTGAAGCTCTGAGCCCCATTTATTTTCCTCACAGACGGCAACAAAAGTCCGAAATTATACGATTTCAAATAAAAGCAATAACTGTGTCTTGATATTGAGTAAGAACATGTTTTTATGAACCACACAGCTTCCGGTCTCCCACGACCCGACCGGAGAAAAAGACGTGCTGCAGGCAGTAGAAATACATTGCTTTTAAAATCGTGCTGTGCAACACGAAAAAAAGGGGCAAATCGTGTTGGTGAACACGAATCAATAGATTAAAAATCGTGTTGGTGAACACGAAATGCCGTGAGACTGGGTTGTAACAGAACAAGTGTTTGAATACGTACATTAACAGGTTTATGATATCACTGCCAAGACACGATCTGACTTTAATTACATTTGTCTCGAGTGTTTCGTCAACTTAATGTGTTGCTTAAAATAATACTTCTGCATACAGTATGTGACACTCTGAGTGTCGCACGGCCAGATACGGCTCAGCTGACTCAGATCAGGAGATATATGATACATTATGAAGTGATATGCCGCGGACTGTACTTAATGTTACTCTGATCCGGTTACTTATGTTGTGGCAGATATTCAAGTAAGCTTTCTTAACGCTAATGTTATAATAGTCAGATTGCTCTGAAGATGGGAGGTGATATTCTATTCATGTTCACGTTCACACAGTCTCTGATTTTTGTCGGCCGTCTTTCCTGCAACGGTAAATGGTAAATGGACTGTACTTATATAGCGCTTTATCCAGTCTTTACGACCCCTCAAAGCGCTTTACATACTACATGTCATTCACCCATTCACACCTATTCATACAGAGCAGTACCACTTGCTCTAGGACCTAACATTCACACACCGTTGGCCATGCCATCGGGAGCAACTCAGGGTTAAGTATCTTGCCCAAGGATACATCGACATGTTGGCTGCACAGGCTGGGATCGAACCCACAACCTTCTGGTTGAAAGACGACCGCACTCCCTCGCAGCCACAGTCGCCCTTTTCTGTATTTCCTTTCTCCTGTAATATGACTTGATCGCTTTAAACTCCGCACACTGAGCTCTGATTGGTCAGCAGGCAGTGCTTTCACTGAGTTGAGCTCTTAGCCTGCAACCTAACCTGGTCCCGACCAGCATAAGTTACCATAGAGATCTAGCCTGCTAAAAAGAGAACCAGCGTCGTAGGACCGGAAACCCAGAGTTTTCCCTGAAGTTAGTCGCTAAGAGAAAATCCTGCTTCGTAGTATACCCCCCTGTTGTCTGGTTTGACTGCTAACTGTTGTAGAAAGCAGCATTAAATATACATTTTCCACAATTTAAGTAAAACTCCTCTTCAGCCAACCCATTACCACAACATTTACACTGCTTTTTGGAATTCTACAATTTGGAAAAATCTATTATTTTGAATTAGTAGAGACCTGCATTTGTATAGAGTTTTGGTTGTGTGGTTCCTCAAATATTTGAGCGTCCGCAATGTGCAAAATGCACTTGCCAAAGTCAAATCAAACAATTTTCCAGTGAAGGTCTACGGATCTGGTTATTTTCCATGTTTTCATCAATAGTGCTTTACTAGTAAGGATTCTGCTCGCCACTTCCACACTTAGAAATCGGACTTCAGCGGCCAGAGCATTTACTTTGCATGGCAGAAGGATTCTAGCAAAATCAGTAAATCACAAACAAATCAAAAATATTGTCAGGATTCAAGTAAGCAAGTAAGCATGGCTGGACTGGCCATCTGGCATACTGGGCACTTTCCCGGTGGGCCGACGTGCCTTGTGGGCCGACTAAAGTTAGTATTAATTTTTTTTCTGACGGCCCGTTCAGGTATTTGTATTTAATTCAATTCAAAACCTTTATTTATCCAGGTGAAATCCCATTGAGATCAATGATCTCTTTTTCAAGGAAGACCTATATACTTTTCAAAATCCTGCTTGTGTCCCCCCCACGTTCAAATTTGTTTCTAATGATCTTTTAACCGCAAGCCGTCATCGCCACAGAGGAGCACACACCTGTGCGTGTGTGTGGCACGAGCGCATTTTGTGTGAGTGAGTGAGAGAGAGAGAGAGAGAGAGAGAGAGAGAGAGAGAGAGAGAGAGAGAGAGAGAGAGAGAGAGAGAGAGAGAGAGAGAGCGCACCAGTTATCGGGATTGTTGTTTTTAGCATCTGGTGCTAGCTCAGAGCTAAGGAGATGTTTCTCCAACAAGATGGAGGCGAGCTCTCTCCTGTCAGACTGAGAGAGGTAACTTCAGCTCAGTGAGGCAAAGGACTCTTTGAGGGTTTACATCTCTTCATTTTGCCATCAAAGTGCACCAGATTTAAACATTTAACTTCCAACATTAAAGCATACCCCTGGACCCCCTTACTGGATGTGAGGTCCACCCCGAAATAAAACAGGTTCACATGGTTAGGAATAGGATGCTAAATAGGTTTGCACACGTATTATATACAATAGAGTATGTCCATATGTTTCTCTTTTGGTAGTAGATTGGTCTATTATTGGGAGTTCAAATTCATTATTTACATTTCATATTGTGTATTCTTTGGAGTCTTAAGATATATGACCATAAATAAAAGAAGGAGAAAAAGTGGAAATTGAATCTCACATTGTTTTATTTTGAACATTAATTGTGAACATTTTCCATTGCTTAAAATGATTCTCTCCAGTGTTGGCAATCGGCCTGTGAGTGTGAGACCCTGCTAACAGCAGTGACTCTGCTGTACTTATCTTCTTGTGCATTTCATGAGTCAAATGTGGATTTCATTAAGCAATTCAGAAGGAAGGACAGTTTTTTCTTAGACATATTTTAGAACTATTCTTCCTGCCAGAATGTATCATTATGGCCAAGTTTTTATCACCATAGTCCCTAAATGTTTGTAGAAATGCAGGAAATGGTATTACAAACAAGAACATTTTTCCGAGGACCCCTAGACCCTGTGTTTTGTGTCCCGCCCACTTCTCAAACCAAAGTTACACATTTGTGTGTGTTGGTAGTTTTGTGTTCACTGATAGTAAGCATTTTCCTCTGGTCAGGAGCCGCTACTGTGTTTTGGTTTGATGGTTGTGGTCGGTCCCAGTCCAGCCCTGCAAGTAAGTAGCATCTGAAGCTGCCAGCGGCAACATTTGATGCTAGAAATTTGAATAAAAAGCCCATAATTTATTGAAAGTAGTGGTTGTTACCTTTTCTTACAAAGAACATAGCATGATACCATCCATGCTATTTTTGTGGCAATAAGAGGAAATAAACCAACTTCAGGACATAACAAAAATTGAAGATTGGTCAAATTTGACCTGAGGACAACAGAAAGGGTTAAGAGTGTTATCACTTATAACAGCTTTGTGCTGCGGCAGGAAACCATGGTGATAAGAGTGACAGCTCTTGAAGAGGCTCACAGCCCTGCACTCTGGTCTCATGGTTTGTTTCCTTCTCATAGATTCTGATCTCCTGGAGTCTCTGCAGTAACGTACCTTCAGCACGGCCTCAGGGAAGTTCCTGTTAAAGAATCGCAGCACCTCCTTCACATTGGAGCTGCTCTTGGTCCTCACTGTGATCATGTAGCCATCCCCAAACCTGGACATAAAGACATGATGGACATGAGACATAGTCACATAGATCTGAGAGTTGTTATTAAAACACAGGAAGAAGGTGGAGCTTCTGACCTGTTCTTCAGATGTTGGATGCTGCCCAGGCACTTGAACCTGCCGTTAACCATGATGCCCAGCCTGGTGCACAGAGCCTCACACTCCTCCATGCTGCACAGAGCAGCAGACACACTACGTTAGCTACAGTACGCTACAGTCTGGAAGCCCTCAAAGGAAGTCCGATTGTTTTCCCCAAGAGATCCATATAAACATCTTAATATGTTTCTCTCCTGTGTTTGTGAAATAATAAACAGCTGATTTATACAAAAGATATCATTTTATATACATGTGTTTTTTCTGCCAGGCTGTAAACCTGTTTATCCTTACTGTACGGTTGGTCCTCTTAACACGGGGGTCAATAAAGAGCTATTTGAGGTAATGCAGTTGTTGGCACTTTGCTCTTGCTTCACTGCCTGAGAAAAAAGAGTAACTGGTAAATGAGAAATGGAATTAGTGATCCAAATCAATGTTCCCAGCAAACCTTTTATTCTCCACTTGTTTCTCACATGACAACATTAAAATAAAGCTTATTTTCTGTGTCTCAGTCATACACACTGGAGAGAAGAATTTCATTAGGAAATGGATCACCAGAACTGTTTTGTTCTTGCTTGCCTTTCAGGATTGAAGTACTATTGTGAAAAAAGTGAAAGTATATGGCAACAGTAAGAGCGGGATTCCACTGAATGGAAGGACTAAGACGTCTCACCTGTGTGATGTCAGCACAACAGAGCGTCCTGTCTTTATTATGTCCAGGATCAAATTCCAGAGGAATCTGCGGGCCTTCGGGTCCATGCCAGTGGTGGGCTCATCCTGGAAGCCCCCACAAAGGACAGCTTATTGGACAGTATATACTATACTCTCATTATAGTTTCTGTTGCCCTTCTACCAGGTCCACATAAACATTAAAGCATCATTCCACTCCCAATGTGTCACTCAAACAAGCTGCAGCATATAGAAACAGCCATTCCAGCTTCTTACCAGGAAGATGAGTGAGGGGTATCCAATCAGAGCGATGGCAGTGGAAAGCTTGCGTTTATTACCTCCACTGTAAGTGCCGGCAGGCTTGTCCGCATACTTTGACAACTCCAGCTTCTCTAATGCCCACTGCACCACCTGGAGGAGAGAAAGGGTACTGTCAGTCTGCCAGGACCATTCATCTGCTCAGGGGGGGGGGGGGGGGGGGTTAGAGCTGGGAGTGTGTGTGTGTGTGTGTGTGTGTGTGTGTGTGTGTGTGTTAGACTGACCCTCTCCTGGTCCTTCCAGGGAATGCCACGGAGGCGAGTGTAAAGTTCCAGATGTTCTCTAGCAGTCAGGTCATCAAACAGAGCGTCAAACTGCGGACAGTAGCCAATACTCTGCTGCACACACAACAGGTCCTTCAGGATACTACACACACACACACGCACGCACACACACACACACACGCACGCACACACACGCACGCACACACACACACACAAACACACACACACACGCATGCACACACAGACACACACACACACACACACACACACACACACAAACACACACACACGCACGCACGCACACACACACACACACACACACACAGACACACTGTTTACACAAAGCTTGATTTCAACAAAAATGAATTGCTTTTCTAATTTGAATAAATAACCTTTATTGTCCCTGCTATCGTGTACCAGGCTGCAAACATGTTTATTTCTTCTGTAACGTTGTGAGTCTACTGTTTTCTCACATCACTTTTGAACAGGCCTCAAGTGGACATTCAGGGAACTGCACTCTGTGGCACATCTACATCCTTAGCAGTGTGCATTCATCTGAGGCATGTTGTGGCAATTAGCAATAAAAAGACACATTACACATTTTTCTAGTTCCTATGTTGCCCTCTATATATGTCAACGCGCAGCAGCTGAGCATTAGAGTGTGGCTGAGACAAACAGAGAGGTGTCCACATACTATAGGTCATAAACTATGTTTTTTAACTGATGTGTGTTGCTAATTGTTCTTCTTCTTTGTGATCTTAAGTAAAGAAAATAGAAAAGCACATGAACATTAAAAGTTATCATGTTCTGCCACTGACCTGTTTCCGTTAATGAAGGCCTCTCCTCCAGTGGTAGACTCATCTCCTGTCAGCATCTTGAAGGTGGTGGTCTTCCCTGCTCCATTCACTCCCAGCAGTCCGAAACACTCCCCCGGCCGGACGCCCAGACACAGCCGGTCCACAGCCAAGATATGACCCATCTTCCTGGATTTGTAAACCTGAACACAGGGACATACCAGTGTTTTAGTAAACCAACGCTCCTTAACTGTATAAATCATGTATATTCCACAGATAAAATGGGTGTTTTACTGGTAGGTTAAATTGATTATTCAGTATTGGAAACAGGGGTGGCACTCATTTCTGGCAGTAAACATAAACAGTTGTTTGCTTCTAATTCACACTATTTGACATAGTGATGTCATTATGTCCGTCAAGTAAACAAAGGAGTAATTTTAACGCTACAATGTTTGAGTGAAATATGTATTTGTGTGCACATTTCTGTAGAAACAAAACAGTTGCTTCTTGGAATGTTCTACATTTTGAGAGCTAAAGGATCCAATGTGTTTTTAAACGGAGCAGAAATATAACTAGTCTCCCACTTCAAGTATCTTCAAGTCATATTGGACTCGAACTTGACTTTTAAGAAATACATTAAGAAAGTATCAAATACCATTAAATTCAACTTGCAACATTTTAAACAAATTAGACCTAAAACTTAAACTGTCCATGCTGCAAAGTCATACCTCCATTGTATGATTCTATCCCACATTGAATACTGTTTGACAAACTGGTCGTTTGCTTGAGCCACAAACCTGAAACCCATAGAACAGCTGTACAAAAGAGCTATCCAGGTGTTTGACAGAAAGCCACATTCATACCACCACTGTACCATCCTTGATAAACACCATGTCTTGAGTTTTGACAATTTTAAGTCTTTTAAAAGTATGTGTTTTTTTTATAAATGTTGACATGGACTGCCCCCCCCCCCCCCCTTAGGGGAACTCATCCACAGGAAACACACTGGACGCTGCACTAGGTCAGAAACCAGAGGAGACTGTGAAGTCCACCGCAGACGGACCACTTTTGGACAGACTGTCCTCTCCATTAAAGGCAGCTCATTGTGGAATAGCCTCTCAACTGAGATACGGGATCGTCCCACTCTCAATAGCTTTAAAGGTCAACTCAAAGAATGGTTGAGAAACAAACAGATGTCCAATCACCGCTAAATGCACTTTAACACAGGGGTATCTCCTCTCGCACTTTATGCAGCACTTTTATCTTCTCTTGCACTTTACATATCATAGCTGCTACATTGTTTTGCCATGTGGTAAATGCTTGTGTTTGCTGCTCATGCTCTTCCTGCATATTTATTTTTGCTATGTATATACTGTGAGAGAATATTTTAATCCGATCTGTGTACTTAGAGGTCCTCAGTCTTTCTGTAAAAATGTTAATCACAAAGTAATGCTTTTTGGTAAACCGCATATATTCCTGCCTGTAATGTGATCCTGTGTGTAACTTCTCAGGAAGACACAGGTCAAGAGGTCATCTGACTTCCTGTGGGGGAGAAGCTTGGCTCATGTGGGTTTGCAAGACAACGAGTCTTTGTCTCTCTATCTGGCTTGCATTAAAGGAAAACCCGCGTGTTTTAGGGCCCTCCTCTTCTCATGTATAGATGTGTTCCTGGCTCCTTTGGCTTCAGAGTTTGCCTGGTGTCCCACAAAGAAGTTGTGCATATACCTTGTGAATTCTCCGGCCGTAATATACTTTCAATAAATGTCAATGTTTGACTAAAGCGAATCCAGCTTCCATTCCTTTCACGAGCATTGGCTCAGCATTGATAACAGAAGTTTTCCTAACAAATTGGCGTTGTCGGCAGGATATCAATACATCTTCAGAGACTGGTAAGTGTAATTTCAAATCCACATTTGGACATTGCCTTGCCAGAATCTGTGATTGACGATATCCTAAAATTACCTGTGAAACTGAGCGGTTGTGTTTCATTTTGGTTAATGAACATTTGGCAGATTGCCTCTGTGCATGCTGCTTGGGACGAAATTACCATACAAGCATGCACAGCTTATGTTCAGAGTAACCTTAAAGAAAGGCATCCGTAAAGTGGAACTTCTGTTTAAAAGCAATGTAGAGATTTGTATTGAGACGAGTCGCCGAATTCTGGAGATTTCAGCGGTCAAACTGGTTAAGTCAACTCGCCTCGAATCTGCCTGCACGCTGCTGCTGCAGGTAGTGTGTGTGATTTATCCCCCCCCCCCCCCCCCCCCCTGCGGGGAGCTGCAGGCAAAGAGGAAGAAGCACAGAGTGCCACATATTCTTTTTCTCACACCATTACCGATTTGGAACTAAACAAAACGGTCTAAAAAGCATTTATTTTGTCTGCGACCGTTTTCTACGATTTTGCTGGCAAAGCTGGGGCAGACAACTAAGTGCGTGCGTCGCCTGGCGCGCCGCAGTCTCCTACTTGCTGGAAGAAACTGGGCGCATTCCCGGGATGCACACATCAGAATAGGTTAATTGGTCATTAATGGGAAGGGTGGGACGCGATAATGTGACAATAGCGCTGTGTTTCATAACTGATGAGTTGTTAAATTTGGCTATTATTGGAAAGGGTACTGGATAAATTAAAAGCCTCCGCTCTCCGGATCGGGGAGGGCAGAGCACCACTAAATTAGCATAGTGGTTGTTGATTGAGAATAAAGTGGTTATTACTCTTCAACAGATTCCGTTCTTAGCACTTGTACAAGTATATATGGGTAAGAAGGCACTCATATTAAACAGATATTTCCCTACCCCCGCTGAAGTTTCCCTAATTCGGATTAAATTAAGCTGGATGAGTTTAGCTGTCACCTGATAATTGTTGCGGGTTCATGTTTGTTTGTATAATTGTTTCGTGTTTGTTTGTCTACCCGCCGTCTTGTGCATCATGCTTTGTAACAACTAATAATGAATCAGTCCACAGCCAGGGTAAAATGAACTAAACTTTAGTTATCTCACCAAAAGTAAATGACTTGAGAAAAATGGATGATGTAGGGATGTAAAGCAAAATTATACATTGTAATATAAATGTTCTGTAAAAGGAAAATAAATAGCAAAAGAGTGTTTTTATGTCCTGCGTCTGTCTTACACCCGGGAACCTCAGAGGCATCACTGCGGGTCATAAATACCAGGCCTGAGGAAATCAGGGTTGAAAAAATAAAAATAAATCTGTCTGCTCAAATAGGTCAATGTTGTATTATTTGTTTCATTTATTCTTAATCTATGTATTGTGTGGTAATAATGAAAATAAAAAAACGTAATGTATTGAACACATTCCGAAACAAAGCAGATTAGCAGAATATAATTGTGATTGGAACCTTTTGCACTGTTGCTGCAAAATGAAAACTTTTTGATTGTCTGTTCCAACTGGCCACTGGAATAAGATAATTGATATAAATTGAAGTTCAATTACAGTTTTTAAATATAGTTTAACATTCTTTATTAAACTGTTTCAAATTATTTCTAGTCAAAATCTCCCCCTTTCTCTGCTCTGCTTGGTGCTGCAGAAGAAGAAAAAAAAACGCAAGACACGGGGTCAGAGACAGGCGTGACCTCTGGAAGGAAAAGATCATCTGAAGCAGACCACGGCACGGCGCGTTGGGGGTTTTATGGCCTCAGCACAAAGGAAGATCTAATTGCAGCAGTCAGTTTATAATTTTGGCAGCACTGTTGAGCATTTTGAAAATGTATTTTCATGCCTCTGTGCAAGGCTTAGTCTTTCTATCTGTATAGCCACTGGTGTTAAGTAACTAAGTTCATAAACTCAACAAGTACTATACTTGGGCACAATTTTGAGATACTGGTACTTTATTTGAGTATTTAAATGTTTTGCTACTTTATTCTTCTACTCCACTACAGTTCAGAGGTACATGGTGTATTTCTACTCCACTACATGTATTTAATACCTTTTAGTTACTTTCAGATCTGGATGAATGATGCAAAATATAATCAAGTGTTGAATCAGACTTTAGTTCCACCTGGAGTAAATCCACCAGCTACCCTGCAGTATACAAAGTCATTCAAACTAGCTGCACCTTTACCAGCTTTGAGAACACTTTCATGATCAATCATTATAAAACATATCATATATAGTATTCTGAAATAAACCAATCTGCACAGTGACTACTTTTACTGTCGCTATTTTCACTATATTTTGATGACAATACTTTTATACTTTTACTTGAGTAACATTTTGAATGCAGTACTTTTACTGTAACTTAGTATTCCTACACTCTGGTACTTCTACTTTTACTCAAGAACAAGATCTGAGTACCTAAGCTAACGTTAGCCAGAAACCTTCCATTTTGACACACAGAACAATGGGGGCTATCCACCCGCATCCACAATGTAAAGTAATTCACACAGCCTCTTCCATCTGTGAGGAGCAGCAGGTTCAGCTTCATTTAAATATGTCGTGTAGTAATAGATGGATTTATTTTTCATCTCAAGAGAGAATGTGTATTTTATGTTAGTATTTCAAAAAATCTCCTGGGGGAGAATCCCCCCAGACCCCCTGCGGGGGTTGGGTTTTCAGCATGTCAACTCTTTTACCTGTGGGGAAATTGCAGGATTGGCTCCAGGTCGCCCTTTTTATTTACTACAAGACAAATGTGCCTTTTTATTTCATACAGTTCAATTTGGATTGAGACAGGGAAATAATCTAAACATCACGCGTGGCGTTTCACTGTCAAGGGGAGATATAGCGTGTATGTAATTACATTTCTAATGCTGATATGAGCCCACCACTGTATGGGTTAGCCCTACCATAGATTACCCAACACAAATACTCGGGAGCCGATAAGTCAATTAATTGCTTATCGCGACAGGCAAACAATAAAACAGTGGAAACAAACATGTGTTTGACTTTCATTAGTGAATGAAACTGTGTGCCCTTTATAGTCTGTGTCCAATATTGTGTATTTGTATATATATTATATATATATATCCTAAATATATGCTAAGCTCCCGCTACTGACACGATAGCAGTCACTTCGTGCGCATGTGTGGAATTAAAACCCATGATATCAAAATCTCACTCCAGCCAGGTACCCAAAGTTAGCAACCCTGTCCATACCCCAATAATATTTTATTGCAGATCTACATGAATCACACAAACGACCTATTTTGGATTCAAAACGGCAAATTTCGCCAAAAGATGACAAGTTTGCATCCCTGCTTGTTATCGTTTTCATCACAGAGCTGGGAAAATGGTGTATTGATTACTGATCTGTGCAAGTCAAATTTGTTAACTGACTTTAGTTCTAATGTTAATGTTAATTTGATTTCAACCCATAAGTAATTATTTAAATTAACTCAACATTCTACATGATGGATTAGTGTTCCACATTTTTCCCACTAATTTGTTTATGATTAGGCCAATGGTAAAGAGAGACATTGATGACCCTGTGTCCTTTTTGTTAGCACGTGGTTCCATTTTGCCTATGGCTTTGGACAGCTTCACTAAGAGTCACCCAGCTCTACCCTGCTACAGTCCGGCTGAGTGCAGTCACAGAGATGCTATGGCTGCTCTACATGACATTAATGGTTTGGTCCGAGAATGGGCACCATTTCCTGCTCCCAGAGAGAATGACGGGCCTCAAACTGGACTGTACAGCCGTTGATACTGTCTCACGTGGGTCTGCTCCCCCCCACCGAGCCATGAACTGAAAGCTTGACGTCTGCTCTGAACACTTGGAACTGTCACACCAGCACCAACCCTTGGGTCAGTTAGATGAGACTAACGGCTTCACTTAGGGCATATGGGTCAGAAATATGACTCTCGTTACCACGGAGTGGGTTGTTTGTTTTTTAAGGCTATTCATACTGCTATGCAGAGTGAAGAGCCCCTACTATTTTTAGTATAGGCCTAATGTCAGGGGCCTCTTACTGTCTACTTCTGCATGTATTCACATTATATGGACCATTTTTCCACCTGGTGAAACTAGAGGCTGCACGGAACTCAGGCTACAATACAACCATTTTTGTTCTGCTCTAACGATTCAATTTATAGATTCTACATCAAAATAGTTCGTTTTTATTGTTTCCAATGATAACGTCACCTTAAGTGGAGGAATGCAAACCTGTTTTCAAATGTAAGGTTTTGAATTTCTTTGACATTTCTCAGTAATGACACCCTCAGACGCCCACTATCATTTATGCTATGCCTTCAGTGGTAACTCAGATGCTTACATGGACTTGTATGTTTTACTTCATATCTAACAGAAGTAAGATAGAAAGAGATGGGGAAGTGAGTAAAGAGGGAGATGAGGAAGAGAGAGGGATGAGAAAGAGAAAATAGAAAGAGATGGGGAAGTGAGTAAAGAGGGAGATGAGAGGGAGATGTGGAAGAGAGGGATAGGAAGGAGGAGAGATATTTGCGAGTTGCATACTGACTCTGAGTTTTCTCGATTAACAGCTTATATAGACAATACCATGCTTAAATAGACTCCTAAGTTATTATTTCATATGTGACAATATGTAAGAAAAGGGAGGGAAGAGTCAAATTATATTGAGCAATTGATTTCATATTGGAACATTCATTTCTCAAACCTATGTTTTATGGAAGAGGAAATGTACTTCTGATAAACTAATCCTTTATCAAACGGTAAATGGTGAATTAATATAACATCTAGAATCATTGAGAAAGGGTTATATCCACAGGGACTAGCTCACCTTTAACTTAAAATAACATTTCTCTGCTTGGACTGATGAGTATATGATTCTTGCATGTTAAATGACTAACACAAACCTTACATTTATAATGTGCATGTGTTAGGAAGGCTCCCAAATCATTCTGAGGGGCCTATCCTATTTTTGTAATTGAATGATAATGTGCTAATCCATTACTTTGAGTTGTCTGCACTCAGGAAAACATCCCTATCAAGTGTTAAACAGCTCTGAAGGCCAAGGGTCAGAGAGAGAATCACACTCTGCGGCTGCAGAGAGCAACTTATCCACGGGCAAGGAGGTCGTTCGAGATGAGAGGATTCTAATCTTCAACTTTCTGATGAGATGGGATGCTTCTTCATCTTTCTGCTCGGTGGGCTCAGGCAGACAACTCTACAGGACGAGCGATGGTTTCAGAGGCATCTGGATGTGCCACTTGGAATAGGCAGGTGCACTGCTCTCAAGCAGATAGCAGAAGGAATGCAGGCAGATGAGCCTCTGTTTCACTGGGAGATCATAAAGTGCTCACTGAATTGAGCCACAAAAGCAGAGCAATTGGGGGGGATTGAGATATGGCGCTCTGATGAAGAAGAGTTTTGAGCCAATCAGCACCTCAGTGCTAATCTACAGATAATTGAGATATGGCGCTCTGATGAAGAAGAGTTTTGAGCCAATCATCACCTCAGTGCTAATCTACAGTATCAGGATGCCTTTACACACCAGACATTCTGTGTCATAAAGAGAGGAGGAGAACGAGTCAGGAGGACATGTTCTTCAAGCTCTGGTACAAAGATAACATTTGAATTGAATGACCAGATGATTACAGATGTACAATTAATGATTGTTTTTGTATTCCCAATGAACAGATATGTGTTAAATAGTGGTGATAAATATATTTTGTCAGATCAGATTACACTTTCACACTAAACAAATAAATAAATTGATATTTTCAGATTTATAAAGTATTGAACAATAAGATATTTCTAATATTATAACAGACAATGTTACTATCCGTAATCATTACCAGGTCAAATGTACAACGAGGAAACCAGATTACAAGGCTCCCAATTCAGCGATTGAAATTGATTACAGTTGATGCTCTGAATAAAGAACAGATGTTTTGATTTTTTCCTTTTCAGGTTGTTATACAATAAAATGTCTGATTCTTCCTTTTCAGATTTTTAAACATTTTGAGAATTGTTTAGTTTTCCCTTCAGATTTTGAAATGACATAATGATTGATAGTTGAAGTAATGTAATGATGTTATCATGCCTTACTCTTGAATAAAGCGTAATGAAGTAAACGTAAAGTAATGTTAAAGATTGAGGACACTGTAACTTTACAGATTACAGATTGATCGATTCATCACTGTGAATTTATACCTTAACTAGGAACCTTAGCTGGATCTCTCATGATTCTGATTTATACCTCAATTGATTTCTCATAATCCTAAATTATACCTCAATTGATTTCTTATAATCCTAAATTCTAATTGTGTTTTAATAAGTAATTGCCTTGAAGTAAATCTTTGAGATGTAAACTGATTTAGAATTTGTGTTTGATGAATGAGATTAACTGAGTGATAAATGATAAAATATCTTATTTTTGAAACATATATTTTGCAATTATATTTTTGTATTCCATGTGTTTATTATTGTGCTTTTGACAAAAGATGCCAAGCACTGAAGAGAGATGATTTTTCTATTATGATTGACTGTGTTCAATCATGGTGATTGAAGTGTTTTCAATCTTGTTTACTTTTGATGTAATTAATGTGAGTGAGCCCACACAACTCTGAAGACGCTTATTGATTTAAGTATTGACTGAAATATTCTTAGACTAATGTTAATTGGTTATCAATAGATTGATAAAAACAAAGGACTGTGAGAGAATATTTTAATCCGATCTGTGTACTTAGAGGTCCTCAGTCTTTCTGTAAAAATGTTAATCACAAAGTAATGCTTTTTGGTAAACCGCATATATTCCTGCCTGTAATGTGATCCTGTGTGTAACTTCTCAGGAAGACACAGGTCAAGAGGTCATCTGACTTCCTGTGGGGGAGAAGCTTGGCTCATGTGGGTTTGCAAGACAACAAGTCTTTGTCTCTCTATCTGGCTTGCATTAAAGGAAAACCCGCGTGTTTTAGGGCCCTCCTCTTCTCATGTATAGATGTGTTCCTGGCTCCTTTGGCTTCAGAGTTTGCCTGGTGTCCCACAAAGAAGTTGTGCATATACCTTGTGAATTCTCCGGCCGTAATATACTTTCAATAAATGTCAATGTTTGACTAAGGCGAATCCAGCTTCCATTCCTTTCACGAGCATTGGCTCAGCATTGATAACAGAAGTTTTCCTAACATATACATGTCACGTTCTTATATGTTGTATGTGACGGGACTACGGATGGAAATTAGCTCAAAGCTAAAATCCGGCTCATTTACACTTGTAAGCATTATTTTGTTTTAAAGTGTTCATCAATGTGCACTGTCCCGGTTCAAATAAACGATTAAATGAAAATGAACCTTTGTGAGGTTGTCGATCTTTAGCTTGTCATTGTCAGCGTCTCCTCGTAACACTCTCCGTCTCTCACAGGCCACGTCTACATCGTCATCATCTATTGGCTGGCAACTGACAGGCATCCTCCTGTGCACACACACACACACACACACACACACACACACACACACCACACACACACACACACACACACACACACACACACACACACACACACACACACACACACACACACACACACACACACACACATTAAGTCTGAAGGAGTGACAGTAAATCCTGACATTCCCCACACTCGTAGAAACAAACAGGACTCACGGCGGCTTTCTGAGGAAGTTGTACTGGCAGAGGATGGTGATGAGGAAGCCAACAAAGCCTTCGATTGTCATGGCAACGAGCCCTCGCGTCACGATGTCCCACTCAAATGGAGACTTCATCTTGTCAAACTGGCCTGAAAGCACACCATTTATAAACGATTGATATCTTCTTTACTTTTCTTTCAAAAACATTTGTCTGTTTGAAAAGTAAAATAGTTAAAGGTCCACCTTGTTGAGGCCAACTTAAGGTTTATGCATTTCAATTTGTTACTGTCTAAAATACATACTTATTTAATTGTTTGTTTCATTTCATATTTCTGCAAATAAAGTAGATTTTGCTAGTAAAGTTATTATTATATTATTTTCATAAAAGAAAATGATAGGCACAAAAGATGAAATAACAATGATTCTAAATTCTAACATCATCCTGTTTGCCCTTATCATGGTACATTCAAATGTTGTTTTTTATGTCCCTTGTATCACACAAACACATACAATAATTATTCGGACTTCTTCACAATCACATTAAATAATCGTGAGAGAAACTAAAAACATTGCTTCGTTATAGGTGTACCTATTTTAGCGTAGTATTCATTGATGTACTCATTGTAAGCCATCTCCATCAGGCCATGTCCCAGGTTGTAGTTGGGGAAGATCAGGAAACAGGACTTTAGGTAACTGTTGATTCTTTCAGATCCTAAAGACATGAAGATAGTGGAGAAGTGATGTGAGACTACGTCTGATAATACTGCACAACCAAAGCTGAGGGAACAATAGTCAAACTGACCTTATCATGTTCAAAGAGCTGGAGCAGGAAGGTGGCAACAGTTGCAGTGATGCCTATGAAGAGGTTGATGACTATAAGGAACACGTAGGCTGTACTGGGCACCTCGAACCAGAAGGATGCTGGGTACATGATGGGAGTAATGGACCACCTGGAAGAAGAGACGACATATTGAAAGACAAAAACATGAAGACGTATTAATTCACTTTAAATTAAGAGGACACCTCTTCATCTAAAACGCTAAGTCAATGAGGAAGTGCCTCGAACCTGCGTTTTTTTGAATAATCAGTAATGGACTGCATTGGTTACAAATAGAAGTCAGTACGTTCAGAGGTCTATGAGAAAATGACCCTAGCCTCACCTGATTTATTACTTCAATAAACCTTTTCTGTATTGGTTCATATTCTCAAAGGCCAGATTCAAGAAGTCTGAAAAACAGCATGATTCATAAGCACAATTATGGTCCCGTTCATAGTATAAAAAGACAACAAAGCAGGGTATGCTTGAAGGGCCGGAATACCTTCTGATTTACATCTCGATTCCATGGCATTGCTGCGAGATGTTATTCATCATTCAGTACTAATAAAGACACTCCAAGCACTCCACAAGTACATTAAAGCACAAGCCTGATTCTTGCTAACTAAAACTAGCATCCCAATACATTTCACAATTCTTCCTTTCTTACAAAGCTAGCTAGCTTGTGTTAGCACCATCTCACTTTTGACCAGCTTCAACCTCTGTGATAAATATGGTCAACTTCACATTAGTTGAGTGACTATAATAAAACACTGTCTGCACTGGTGCACTTTTTCCAGATCTTATATTCAGGGAGTTTATTTGCTGTCAAATATCAGAATGAAAGTGTGGTCTGCAGTCACATTTCTTTTGAAGTTTCTACTTGAGAAACATAAGGAGAGATGCCTTGAATCTTCTTCTCCTTCTCTTTCTCTAATTTCTTGTCTTTAAACCACTTTTCCCCAAAAATCCATATCATGGAAGAATACAGTTACTCAGACCCAGGGCCTTATACTGATGAACCGTTGCTGCAGACAGGATGATGTTGGAAAAACACTGATTTTAGATCATGCACCGTGAAGGAAATCATTATTTGATCCCTAGCAGATTTAGTTTGTTACACTCTTACAAATAAATTAATAGTCTATCATTTTAATGGTAGGTTTATTTTGACAGTGAGAGTAAGAATATCAAAAAGAAAATCCAGAAATTGACATTATATAAAATATAAAAATGGTGGGAAATAAGTATTTGATCCCCTTGCAAAACATGTGTTAGTACTTGGTGGAGAAACCCTTGTTGGACACACAGAGGTCAGACGCTTCTTGTAGTTGGTCACCTGGTTTGTGAACATCTCAGGAAGGATGTTGGTCCACTCCTCTCTGAAGATCCTCTCCAAACCCTTCAGGTTTTGAGGCTGATGCTTGGCCTCTGGAAGCTTCAGCTCCCTTCCTGGGATTAAGGTCTGGAGACTGGCTAGGCCCCTCCCTCACCTGAATGTGCTCCTTCTTTAGCAGCTCCTGTGTTTCCTTAGCCGTATGTTCAGGGTCATTGTCCTGCTGGAAGACCCCTCCCATGACCATGTTCAGAGTCCTGGCTGAGGGAAGGAGGCTATCGGCCAAGATTGTATGGTACATGGCCCCGTCCATCCTGTCCTCGATGCAGGGAAGTGGTCCTGTCCCCTTAGCAGAGAAACACCCCAAAGCAGAATGTTTCCACCTCCATGCTGACCCCCCGTCAGACGGATGGTGTTCTGGGGTTATAGTCAGCATCTCTCTTCCTCTAACACGGCGTGTCGAGTTGATGCCAAAGATGTCGATGTTGGTCTCATCTGATCACATCCTCTTCTCCCAAGCCTTCTCTGAGTCCTTCAGATGTTCATTGTCAAACTTCAGACGGGCCTCTCATGTTCCTCTTGAGCAGGGGGCCTTCAGGCGCTGCAGGATTTGATCCATTAAGGTGTAGTGTGATACCAATAGTTTTCTTGGTGACTGTGCTCCCAGCTGCCTTGAGATCATTAACAAGTTCCTCCTGTGTAGTTCTGGCTGACCCCTCACCTTTCTCATGATCATCAAACCCCACGAGGCCAGATCTTGTGTGGAGCCCCAGCCCGAGGGCGACTGATGCTCATTTTGTGTTTCTTCCATTCCTGAATAATGGCACCAAGAGTTGTCTCATTCTCACCAAGCTGCTTTCTGATGGTCTTGTAGCCAGTCCCAGCCTTGTGCAGGGTTGCATTCAAATTGTCCAAAAATCAGCTCCTATCATCTTTTCCTATCCACTATTCCTTGACCTCTGTGTGAAACATCACGCAGTTAAGGGATAGTGGATAGGAGAATTTAAAAGGACTTAGGAAAAAAGACTGCAGTGCTTTGCGAATCCGACTGCACTTCAACGTGTTTATGATGAGCCAGCGGACGTCATAAATGTGCGTCTGCTGTGGGGAAAACTACAGTTTTGTATACAGCGAACTACATGGATGTTTAATAAGAACGGCGGACTAAACTCATCTAGAGACTCTGCACCGTGCTCTGATGGTGTTGTTTTATGCTTTATGAACGTGGGCAACAGAGAAACATATTCTTCATGAACAAGGTTGGAATTTAAATAAAAAAGTAAAGTGAAACTTAACTTATGTTCGTCACCCTCTCCCTCCGGTCCACACGTTAATACGTGTATTATAATGAATACATTTGTATTAAGATCTTTTCATACAATCCTACGTATTGGGATTCATGTGGATATTAATGTTTTATTCCTTAACATCTATCACTGTGTATATCACCATTCAAACATGTATTACAAGTTTAAGAAACCCCACACAGCTCAGTAAAGACTGTGAGATGTTGACTTTATTTGATCATTTCAGTAAAAACTAACGTTCATATTTCTCCTTTTGATTATTATAGTGTTGAACGTTCAAAACAAAGCACTTTGGCAACTTACCACATACGTTTGTAAATTACTTAATAAATATCGTAACTTTCATGATATTATTTCTCGGTCATGGTCGGTTGTTTCCGTGAACGTTGTTGTCACGGTATATGTTGCGGCCGCAAGGCATTGTGGGACAGCATTTTCTCCTCTCCTTTCATCAAGGAAGGTCCAGTGGTTCCTAAGCTAAAGGAGGTTATAAAGGAAGTTTCAAATCTCCTTTCCTATCATCTAGACTAGAGAATTTGAACAGCTCTTATCATGGCTGCCACTGAGGTACTTCCGGGTCATTTCACTCCGTTAGGAAGGTTCCTAAGCTAAATGGACTATTCGACCGCATCCCAGGTCTACAATCTTGTCCCTGAGGTCCTTAGACAGCTCTTTAGTCTTGCCCATGGTGGAGAGGTTGGAATCTGATTTATTGATTCTGTGGACAGGTGTCTTTTATACAGGTAACAAGTTGATATTAGGAGTACTTTCTTAAAGGAAGAGGATTTATGTAACCGGTCTGTGGGAGCCAAAATTCTTGTTGGTTGCAAGGGGATCAAATACGTATTTCCCACAGTTAAATGCAAATTCATTTTGATCTCTTATATGATGTACATTTCTGGATATTCTTTTTAATATTCTGTCTCTTATTAGTCAAATAAAGCTACCATTACAATTATAGACTGTTGATTCCTTTGTAAGTGGGTACACTTACAAAATTGGCAAGGGATCAAATACTTATTTCCTCGACTGTAAATTAAACCACTCAGAGTTGACAGTGATGTTACAAGCGAGGTAAGCAAAAGGCCTTGTAACCTTCATATATTTTACATCTATATAATAGTTGCTCTTCCAGAGTGTGGAGGAGACATTGGGAGAGGGGCCATTACACAAGGAGAGCTGGGCAGTTACCCTGGTCCAGGTCTAAGAGGAAATCCATCAGGACACTAACTGCTGTCTCATCAGGAGCAGATGTGGTTGGGAGTGCATACAGGACCATGGGGGCATACACACTACTGAGCCCTATGATAAGTGGCCGTGATTGGATTGAAGTTAGTTGGAACAGCCTGTTGAATTTTTTTCACTTAGATTTTCTGTTGATTTTTAATTCCAGCCCTCATTGGGTTGATGAGTTTGGTTTCCATCACACAATGAATATCAGTAAAGATGTTCTACTTTAATATTGCGTTCATTAAGTGTTGACTTACAAACTAACCACAAACTAAATTCCATTCAGTTTTTTTTTAAATGTGGTGAACTGCCCCTTCAATAGAAGTGTAAGTCCACTAGACTACACTATAATGAGCCGTTAATTCCAGGTATAAACGCTGATAAGTAAAGATGTGTGCACTCAAAGGTCTCACCCGTACAGAAGAAAGAGAGAGAGGACTGCAGGGAAGTTAGTTGGTGATGTGTAGGCCGGCAGGTCAAACACAAACAGAATAATCACACAACATGTTGCAGGCACCAGGTAGTTCAGCTGAGGAGAGGGCAGACACACACTGAATTATTAAAAACACAAGAAAATCCACTGCCCTAACCTCAGTTACACATGCATTATTCTTTGTACAGTATTGACCTCAGGCTTTTCTCACCATGTCCCATATGTAATTAGCCAGCCAGTAGATGACAGGGTCACACCCGCTGACAAACTGCAGGTGTTTGGCCTTCGTGGATTTCTCTGCAACAAGGAAGACCACAAAGCTGGCCGGTACAAAAGACATGGCCACAATAATGAAGATGGCAATCACCACATCTGTCCCCTGGAGCCTGGAGATACAGGGAGAGGAGAAAGGAGAGAGAGGTGAGGAGCCTTTAGAAATTATTGTAAATGATAACCATCACAAGGCTATGTCTTTCCACCTTTATAACTCAGCCCAACATCATTTTGGGTTTCCCCTGGCTAAAACATCATAACCCCCACATAAATTGGCACTCTTGCAGGGTGGAGGGGTTGGGAAAGAAATGCTTAAATCACTGTTTAAAGCAAACAGTTGAGATGGACAGGGGAAGCAACACTGGGAATTGTAGGCAGGAAACAGACCAAAGGTTAGATCCTCCTGAATTACCTTCAGTCCCTTCCTGCTACCATGATCTAGGTGAGGTTTTTAGCAAATCCAAGGCTTTGGCTCTTCCTCCTCACCGTCCATTGTGCTATTGACCTGATTGCTAGGGTTCCTATTCCTAAAGGACCTGGGCAGCACGCCGGAGGGGCATCGCCGCCAGTTCTGGGCCATCCCCTTTGAGGACGCCGGCCATCCCTTCTCCTACGCGCAGCAGCTCCTCAATGCCGCGAGGCGCTGGCTCCGACCGGGACAACACTCCGCTGAGGACGTTGTGGAGCAGGTGGCACTGGAGCAATTTGTCGCAAGACTCCCGACATCGACAGCGAACTGGGTCCAGTGCCACCGGAAATGATTTTCCAGGCCGCTCATCATAACCCCATGTCAGGTCATCTAGGGTACGACAAAACACTACACCGGATCATGGCCCGATCTTCACAGATGGTGGTGCGCATCTTGCCGTGAATGTCAGTTGGTTAACCCGCCGGCTACCCCAAAAGCGCCTTTGCGACAACTCCCATTAATTGAGGTACCTTTTGAGAGAGTTGGTATGGACCTCATCGGGCCATTAGACCGGAGTGCACAGGGATATCGCTTTGTACTAGTCCCTAGTGGATTATGCAACACGATACCCCGAGGCGCACTGCCTCGCTGCGTAATATTTCTGCCAAGGCACTGTTTCATATAATCTCCCGAGTCGGGATCCAAAAAGAGATCCTGACTGAACAGGGCACATCGTTTATGTCACGCACACTACGCGAGCTGTATGAACTGATGGGCGGTCCCACTCAATCCAGACTAGCGTTTACCATCCACAGACCGACGGCCTGGTGGAGCGTTTTAACAAAACGCTAAAGAACATGGTTCGTAAGTTCGTTCACGAAGATAGTCGTAATTGGGATAAATGGTTAGACCCTCTGTTGTTTGCAGTGCGGGAGGTGCCCCGTCCTCCACAGGATTTTCTCCCTTTGAGCTATTGTTTGGCCAACCCTGTCTCCTAAAATTACGTTCCCACAGAACTAAACTGCATTCTCAATTACGTTTAGCTAGAAACATATTTTCTCCCACGTTACGTTTCTTATGAACGTATCTCAAATGCGTTTATTTTTCTACATATCTTTGCCATTTATTGTCTTGCTTATAATAATGATAATAGTCATTTATAAATATCATTTTAGAGCACACATTTGAAATCAGTAGGCGAGGCTGTAATTTCGCCAGCTGTTACTCTCATGAGCGAGGCAGAAAATAATAGTTGTAACATGCCAAAAAGCTGCTGTGTCGTTTGTTGCACCTCAAACATTAAAACAAATCCAGAGTTACGTGTTTCTGAACTTCCTCTAAGAAGAAAGGACAGTAACAGAAGATCTCTGTGGCTTCAGGCTTGATCGCTGTTCAAATGACAGCGTTGGTTTCCCCAAAGGTGGGCGGGGCTGTAAGGTGACGTAGATTTTACTCTCATCTATTGTTCAAAACCATTCTATTTATTCTAACGTAAATTACACGCCAGTGTTTTATCTTTTTATTTAGCGATTTGTTTTTGCATGTTTAACTGGGAATGTTTTCATGTTCGCTGACTGGATGTTTTAGCGGCAATGCACGTTGGGATGTGTTGTTAATGCAATATAATATCAGGAAAAAAAATCAGAGTTTAGGATGGCCGAAGACACTACACTACCCATAATCCCCAGCTATCGTTTGGGACTACAGTCCCGTTGACAAACCCCGTGATTAATCTTCAAGCTCTGGGATTGGATGTTGGAGTGGCAGTGCGCCAAGGTTACGCCGAGCGTCAAAGCTCTTTGAAATGGAACGAAACCACGGCAGACTATTCAAAACTGGACTCGAACGCCTCCCGAGAACTACACATGCTGGCTATTGTGTTTCGCAACATGTTCTCTATGGCACGTCTCTACTGGGAATTGTAGTTCTGCACATTTCTTATACTATCTACATAAATAATAGTATAATATCAGTTAAAAAGAAGTGCTTCAACATAGTTAACATTGCAGGAAAGCAATATATTAGACGTTAAGTACTTTTCAGGCTTAATATTTATCTGTAGATAGATACCCCCAAAGCTTTTTTCTTATTTGAAAGAAGACCTTAACCTAAAGTATTCTTTAATGTGTTAATAAAGGTTAATTAGTTTGTCTGTTTTATTGTAGAGATCACTTACAGTATCTTCTTGATTTTTTATATTCTATATTTCTATCATTGACCTTCTACTTTCCCCCTATGAAAGTATGTACTATTAAATATTCTTTTCATCAAATAACATTATTCAACAAAAATAACATTATTCAACAAAAATAATTCAATAACGTTCTTTAACCACTAGGCGGTGCACACAAGGTACACACAGCATACTAATAATAACTTTGTATTATTAGTGTAGGACACTTATGTATGTATAACATCTGAAGATGTGTAGTTTTTTCATGTTTTTACATAATTTTACAGGATATTGCTATACTATTTCTCATGTTTTCACTTCTACACATTAATATCTGATTTGTAAAACATCACAGACAGAAAGGTATATCCGTCTCATTTAATGGTAAACTATTGAAATTGTGATTCCATAGACGTGTCTCCCATCACCCAAATCCCCTGACTATTCTCTCAACTCAGTATTTACATTCTTATATTAAAAGAAAATCAGTAATATCTTTAAAAACTACAAGTCCGATTGGATCACATATAAAAGTCAGCCGAATTACTATTGATACTGCAAGGAGACGTATTTTGTGAAAATAAATGTAAGATGTTGTTTAATTGTTGATATATGTATGATCCACGTCACGTTTTCAGTTTTGGCAGCAGTTCTCCTGTTTGTCCAGAAGTCTTCTGATCAGGGCTCTATAAATAGAGAACTACGGCAGATGTGTAATATTTAATGCAGCCGAACCGTGTATCACAATGCCGTTATGTGATGACTTCCAAAGAGAAAAGCAAGAACACTCGGAATAAAGTATTATTTAAAAAAAAAAAAATGTTTTCGGATATCATATCGCATTAACATCATATCCCAACCAGCATTGTGGCTAAAACATCCATCAACGAGCTTCAAGCTGAGGATCTTGGGTAATCAGTTCAGTGGGTTTGTGGTGTGTATCGCTCGAAATGTCCCTTATAGGGCTACGTCTGTTTCCGGTGACTTTATTTACGGCTAAAAAGCCCAAGATTATAGAATTAAACGAATAAATAAAAACAAGGATAATTGTGTGTTATTGTTGAGTAAATAACAGTGTGTTATTTAGAAAAGAATAACAAATTAGAAGGAGAAAAAGATTTTTAAAAATACAGATTTCAGTATTTTGAGGCCCCATTTGTTTTCCTCACAGACGGCAAAAAAAGTCCGACATTATACGATTTAAAATAAAATAAATAAAAGATAAAACACTGGCATGTAATTTACGTTAGAATAAATAGAATGGTTTTGAATAATAGATGTGAGTAAGATCTACGTCACTTTACAGCCCCCCTACTTTGGGGAAACCACGCTGTCATTTGAACGGCGATCAAGCCTGAAGCCACAGAGCTCTTCTGTTACTGTCCTTTGTTCTTAGAGGAAG